TATAATAGGAATAAGAATGTTCCCATTCAAGTCGTGGATATCACTCCCTCGTACTCAATATATACAAGAGCTTGTTGTGGGATTTGGATTTTATTATATAATATGAAATCATAATATCTATTTTGTTTTCTATGTTAATTACTCATCCGGTTTTAAATAAAAGATCCTTTATACACTAGTACAAGGATTATCGAAGGAGTACCACTTTTTTCAGACCACCTCATTTATTTAAATGATCTACACATAATCTAATGTTACACATAAAATTATTTCCAAGCCGCTTTGAGTTTGATATAAATGATACTACTTCTTTTGAGGTTCAGTGTGCAAAAAGGTTTTACCTCTCTTGACAATATGCTCCCTGAAATTTAAATTTGTTTTCTCCTTTTCATATGGATGAGGGTTGCTTCCTCACTCACCGAATATGTGTATAGATGCACTCTAGTTTCATGAAACCTGTATATCCAGTTTCATGGAGGTATTATCAATAATTAATGCTTCGAAAATAAGTCCAATAGTAAATTATAATGTTGCTGTGAGTCTTCAGGTAAAAACTGCAGAATGAGGGAAATCTGATCGAAGATAATACATGCATGGTCTGGATGAGTGGTTTTGGATGACTAGAGAAAATTGATTATTAATTAATTAATTAATTGAATATGGTTGAGATTTAAGTTCCTTGTTTGCAAGATGATGATAATGTTAGTTGATAATAATAGTGGAAAGTATAGACGGAGAGAAGTGAAACACGCAGGATGGATGCATGGTGGTGGTGCAGATGCAATAGGGCTGCCAGTGAAATGGCGTGAGCCTCTCTTCCTCCGTACTCCCGCCACCTAATTCTATTTTTGAATATTTATAATATTTTGAGCCCCACACGCCGACATCAAATCCCTCAAAAGCGCCGTCGTCTCCCTCTTTCTCTCTCTCCTTCGCAGTCTAATCACCATTCCTCCCACCCCCAGTGTGTTCCCAACATTTCTATATATATACACAGACACACACACACACACACACTTACCTTTGTCGATCTTACTCCTTCCCTCACTCTTGCTCTTTCATATTCCCTCCCTCCCTCCGTTATGCAGGTCGTTAAGTATTCCCCTTTTCCCATGGAGGCCGCCAGAGACGTCCCCGCCTCTACCCCTGACATTGTCCGCCACCTCGCTTCCACCAACGCCGTCGTTGTCTTCAGCTTCTCCACCTGCTGCATGTCCACCGTCGTCAAGCGCCTCCTCTTCAGCCTCGGCGTCGGCCCCACCATCGTCGAGCTTGACCAACATGCCTCCGGCCCTGACATCCACGCCCTCCTCCACCGCCTCTCCGGCACCCACCACCCTCCTGTTCCCGCCGTCTTCATCGGCGGCAGCTTCCTCGGTGGCGTCCAGACCCTCATGGCCTCCCACATCAACGGCACCCTGGTTCGTCTTCTCAAGGACGCCGGAGCTCTCTGGCTCTGAGATGTCCCTGCTTCGCCCCGTCCTCGGCTTCTACAGAGACACACACACACACACACACATTAATGTTGATGTCCTCTTATTACCTAGTTATGTTCCTGTTTTATTCACACTAATAAAACTTTCCACTCCGTGCCGTTATAGAGTGATGGCATGCTGGCTACCTCCATTACGTTGGTTTTTTAGTATCATATGTTTATGTACTAATTTTCTCTTTAAAAAAGAAACGTAAGACATTATATTGGTACAAATACATAAACCTGGGTAATGGAAGACGGCTTCGTGATTGTGTTTCATGAAATGCTACTCTTTAGTAATTGTACGTTACATATGAATTTATTCATTCTCCGCTATGTTTCGAATCGTTAGTTCATTTGATCATCCCGAATAGAATAGCCATGCCAGAGAAATTAATGAGAATATATGTATTGTAAACAGCGGATATCCTGATCCGTGTATAAAACAAGAGAATCAGAGTTACATGATTGGTGGGGATCATGGGAGGAAGATGTCGGAGGAGGTAGCAACATGAAAGGAGGAAATGAACATATGCGTGCAGACATGAGACAGAAAAAGTGAAGTTTTTTCCTCCAGAAAGAAGGGCAAGGACACTGGACACGTCGTCAGATAATGATATAAGAAAAGGATATATATAATAAAATGTGATCATATATATATACACATGCAAAAACATATATAAATATTCCCCCGCCAGGGCCCAGGGGAGGGGGACTAAAGCTGGTAAATGCAAGGCATGCAAATATATATGGCAATTGGAAAACAGTTGGACGTCAAAGTGCGCAGAATATATATGACCTCATTTCCTCATCCTCATAGCCATAGCGTGCATATACAGAGACAACCTCGCCGTTTTCTTTTCTCTATATAAATACATAGTCCCCGTAATGAACTAACAAGTATAATTAATCCTGGAAACTGTCAACCATTTTCATGCTAGTAGACTGGAGGATAATCCTATATATATATATATATATATATCTATATTTGTGACTTTCTTCAGATCAGACTATGCTGAGAAAGGGGAATCGAAATGATCAGAGAAAGAGAGAGTTGGTAGGAAGGACGATGAGGCAGGCGAATCGGCAGGGGTGAGACAACCTCTGATAACACTCTCTCACTATAATGATTGTTACTGTAATTGCATTCTGTTATCTCAGATTCCCTTCTCCCTACCTTTTCCCTCCCCATTTCGTCGTCATTCATCGCTTTTCTTCATTCTTTATTGTAAATTTCTCATACAAAATACATATATACTCACCTTATTTATTTTCTCAAGAAAAGAAAACGGGAAAGGTAATTGAGAGGGAGTTTCTAGCTTTCTTTGATTGAAAAATTGTGTTAAAACAGATAATGAATAAAATGGTAAAGGATGCGCGTGATGTAAATATAGGAGGGAGGGAGGGGAGAGATGAAAAAAATGAGAAGCGGAAAATGATGTCTAGGCTCACTGAAGTTGGTTTTGGCATGTGAGGTGTGTTTTGCAGTCCCCACTTTGACTCTTTGACCGCCCACACACTGCTGCTACTTCTGCCTTCCTCCCGTCACTCTGATTTCCCCGCATTCAAATCTTTTGTTCGTTGCGTCTTTTTTTTTTTTTCTTATACGTGTTAATGTTCGTTAAATAACATAAAAATATACGCACATAGGCGGGGCCCACAAGAGAAACTGTATTTTTTTTTTACTTTTTTGGAGGTGAAAGAGAGACTGCATTCGGCAATGTAGGCATTTGATATAAATTGATGTTGGGATTTGATTTGGATTGAATTATATTTGAACCAAATTAATTATTTGAATTCATAAAAATTTTATGGATTATTAATTTTTATCAAAATTCAAGCAATTCTCTTTTGTTAGAATTTCAAATAGCTAATGCACCCTAATTATTTCAAATCTCTCAACCATACTTTTTTTTTTATTGAGCTAGATTTTTTCATGCTATCAAAATAAAGGATTTTAATTACATGGATTTTGAATTTGAGATTTTAAATCTAATCCATGTACCCAAAACGTGACCTAAAACTATCAATATTTTATTGATAGAAATTGATAGAAATGTCATGAATAAATAAGTTATGAAATAATAATAATATAGAGAGACGCATGAAATGAAGATACAGAATACAATAAGAGAGGAGGAAATTTTATTATATTTCATTTGTCCTGATTCGATTGAGATGCCATCTATTTATTGGCATAAGTTTACGGCTTCAATCTAATTAAAATCTACAAACATAATGATGATAGGATATATATATATATGATGAAATATTAAAAAAAATATGATGGAATGAACTCGCACATAATATTATAATATTCATAGCACATGCTCCTGGGACATCCATAAACATAGGTATTGTGCTTTGTTAAAATCTTAGAAAAATCTAATGGAACAAAAACTCTCTTCGTGATGAAAAATGTGTTCCCAATAAATGTTACTCCTCCGATCTTAAATGTAAGACCCTTATACACACTAGTATAAGAGTCTTACATTTAGGACCGGAGGAGTACAAGGAGACAAAACTTTGGTCAAGGGAAAAAATAAACATAATTTTTAATTCCCGCGATGGCACCGTCATTTCTTGTTATCGAGTCTTTAATTATCTGATTTATCTCCCAAACTCTTGTATATCAATTAATTGCTTCAACATTGCTGTCAATTATGCCTATCGTGATGAGCTGATATTTTCTTTTTGTAGTCCCCCCCCCCCTCAAATTTCGCCAGCGAATTTTGTTTTGCTGCACCACTACACATAAAGCACTGCTTTCATATGATATACCACCTCCGGTCCTTAATATAACATTATTTCACTTTTATTTTGATTCTAAATATAAGACTCCAATCCACTTTGTCTCTCATATTTATGTATTTTTTTCCAAAATAATCCTTCCAATAATGGTAGTTATAACAAATATACTTAATTAGCAAGGATATTTTAGGAAAGACAATAATATTTATTACAAATAATTAACTTAACTTCTTTTCTTAATCTCTTCAAATTAGTCAACTAGCTCTTGTAATTAAGATCGGAGGTAGTATTTTGAAACATTTTCCTTGTGTGCGTGTGTGTATCTTCTAGATATGAACACACATATTTTTCACCTGTCCAGTATTTCTTGGGAGGAGCAACAAACGTTATTTACATTACAGATCACATGACACGGGTGAACTTTTACATACAAATAACCTCTCGAAGGTCAAGTTGATGGGTGTGTTGACAGATTTAATACACTTATTTTTGGGTACATATTTGATACATGATCTTGTCTTCATAGACATGGCCAAAAGAAGTCCCTCGGCACTTGGGAAAAATTATGTCATTTCATGGTCTTAAAAGATGAGATTTGATTCATTTAGAAGGATTCTTGTATCATTTTCAAAAGCAGACTAAAGTAAAATACCTCTTGTGTACTGTATAAATGTATGATCTCGTAACAATTAAATAAACTTTATGTTAACAGAGCGCTGGAGACTCGACGAATAGCTGGATTCATAGCTTCTCGAGAGGGAGAGGGAGAGGAAAACTAATGGTAGATGAAATTGAGCAAACTATTGGCAGAGGTGTAACCCCCATCCACAACAAGATTGTGGGCCGTTACGAAGCCCGATTCGTCACTCGCCAGAAACACACAGGCATGTGCCACGTCCTCTGTGGTCCCACCCCTCCCTTTCAGCAGACTCCCGCTATGCCCCACCACCTCCCTCACCCCTTCGGCCGTGATATCGGCCTTCCCGAACGTCCTGAACGCCACCACCAGCATCTCTGTCGCCACCCCGTGCGGCACCACGCTGTTCACCCTTATCCCCTTCGCCCCCAGCTCACACGCCGCGCTCCTCACCAGCCCCCCCATCGCCGCCTTCGACATCGTGTACTCGTGCGACGCTAACCCCCCCATCATCGCCGCCGAGCTCGACGTGCATATGATCGACCCTCCTCTTCCGCCTTCCACCATCGCCCTCGCCGCGTGCTTTATTCCGTGCACCGTCCCCATCAGGTTCACCGCCACCACCTTATTCACTTTCTCCATGTCCAGCCGCGTGATGCTTCCTTCGGTCCCCGACACTCCGGCGTTGTTCACCATCACATCCACGCGCCCTTCCACCTCACAGCCTCCTTTATAGCGATTCCACCTCTTCCTCATTCGACACGTCGCAGTGTACGTACCGACCTTCGATGGACTTCGCCATCGACACCCCCAGATCGTCCAGCACGTCCGCGATCACCACGTGCGCTCCGTTCTCCGCGAACAACTTCGCCGTCGCTGCTCCGATCCCCCTCGCTCCCCCGGTTATCACCGCAACCTTATCCAATAACCTTCAAACAATAAAATCACTTGTTAAGATATAAGCAGAACAAAACCTTTAGAAGATCACGCACTCACTTCCTCCTCACCTCTTTGCAGATTGGCTTGGCGTTTTATCATTCTCGGTACTATTCGTACACTGCTCCATATGGCTCAATGGTTGGGACGACAGTCCCGTTGGCGATAAATTTATAAGATGAATCGAGACATGGGGAGTGTTGGTGAAAGTTGCGAGATCGGCATAAAATATTGGAAGGTGCTCTTGGCATGCATGCTTTGATATCAACTCACACTTTCTAGTACCTTGGAATATATATACATACACACATATATTTTAAAGAATTATAGCCCAAAAAGGATTTATTTTATTGTTATGCTTCTTTTTTCGTTTTGTTTTGTGCTCGTGATTCATCAGATATCAACCAAATTCTCTAAACACTGAATAGAATAAAGGGGGTTAGTAAAGTAATCCTACCCCGTTGTTCATGTAGTCGGAGAACTAATTGGGCTACAATGAAAGCCCAACCCGTTAACTGGACCCAAAAACAATGGGACTTTTTTATTGGCACAAACATTGGAACTTTTCTAAACGACGAAATACAAAGGCGATCCCAACCGTTCGGCCCAAAAAAGAACGATTTTGTTACGTAATTATTTATAACGTTGGGATGTGGGACTGCGAGGCATTTAAGAGGCGTCCCAAAAAGACTATTGTTGTGTATATAATACAACATATAAAAAAGATTAATTACAAGCAATGCAATGTTTTGGGTTGCTTGGCTCATAGTGAGAAGCTTTCTTGTTTGATGGTTGAGGAAGGAAGGCGTGTAATGGGCACAGTGCACACGGAGTGGAGCAGTGGTAATGTAAATATGGTGGCAGGGGAAGGAGTGAGAAGGAATATGATGCAGAGAAAGAAGAGAGGGAGAGGGAGGGGAGAGGGGGACCAAAGCATTATAATGCTTTGTTGGATGTAGGCATGCTTGAGGCCAAACTGCAGTTTCGTTTTCCACAAAGCATGCATGTGACTTCTTCAATCCCATTTTTGTCTCTCTCTCTCTCTCTCTCTCTCTCCCCCCGCGCAATTCTCTGCTACATTCGTAGCAATCTCAATGGCCTCCTGCCCTCTCTCTGCACGCCAAAGCGTGCATCTTATAATTGACTCAACATTAACGTCCAATGTAATCCATGTGTTATTTACACCCTGCCCCCTGTAGAAATTAAGTGGATCACTCTAATGCTTCGTCTGCCTTCTGGGAGCCAAATGGGCTGCCTAAATGTAAGACTGATCAATGATAAACAAAATGGCTTGAGTCTGATCCAACAAAAGGAACCCCGCCACAAGCCCTTCTTTTTTGTTTTTGTCCTTCTTCATAATTCTTCAACATGATATATAGTTTCTTCAAATTTTCAAGTGCAAGTGTTGGATGGTGCTATCACAAGTCCATTTGTGACAGGTTATGTGAGGGGAAAAAAAGGGAGGAGAAGTTAAATGGCAACACATAGTGCGATACACAAGGCCATTTTCTGGTGATGATTGATAGCTATTGCTCTCTGTTTTGCATTTAATTGTGAAAGGCCAAGGACGGGACCATAACAATAAACAAACAGCATTGTACGTATTTACTTCACAGCTAGTTTCCATGAATGAATATATAACTTGGCCCCAAATCTCTCTTCCCCTACCTTTGTAGAAACTTGCAATCAAATATATTTATTCCTTAAACGATATTGGGTATAAAGGAATGGCGGGTGTATCCATCTTTGGAATATTTTGAAGCATTACGAATTATTCACCCAAAGTGATTGAGAACAGAAAAACGGGACAACCATGTTCCGTCAATCAATCTTTCCCAAACCATGTTAGCTCCTTCACCGTCCTTCTTATTGTGGACAAATAACAGAATCACTTTAACTTTCCTGCTAAACACACCTGCTCTCCCCCATTTGCCCTTCACTATGTAAGTAATTTATCCCTCAACACTGTTATTTTCTCAAAGGAGGAATCTAGATAGAAATGTTCCTCATTAAATCTTGCATATATATGGATATAGATGTGTCTTAGCAAAATTCTATAAGCTGGAGAAAAAAAACAGTTATGATTGAAACCAAGTTAAAGGAGTCGCCAATTACAATGCTCAATAATAGTGGCCAACAGCAACGATTGTGTGCAATAATGCAATATGCATGAACCGCAGAAAGGCTTCGTGACTCCTTATTATTCTGCTTTCTTGTTGAGTTGGAAGCAATATAACTGTTTACCTCTGGACCCACATCTTTATTAAATTGCCCATATGGCACTACCACTATATATAGATATATATATATATATATATATATTAATTCTGCAATCACCCCACATTAGCACCATCATTAAGTTGCTTGCTCATTATTAGTAGTTCATACTCCATCCATCGTGGTGGGCTCATTCGAAGCAGATCAATGGAATGTCACCACACAAAAATTTTGAAAAAGTTCAAAAACAAAAATGGTGGGGCATATTAGATGTTGGAGTTTTGTGCTTCAAGTACATGCATAGTGGGGAGGAAAGACTGGGAGGATAGTTTCTAGTTTATGGAATGCGCAAAAATATTTAATAGGCTTTGGATGTTTTCTGCTGTCAAATCGATGGATATCACGTGGCTCGCTACTCGACAGTTTTCTAAAGCAAATCCAAGTGCTGTGCTGCTTCTTGCCTATGGATCTTCCCTTTATATCCATCTGTCGTTGATTTAACCAAGGAGGGGTTAATTTTGATATTGACATTAACAGGAGCCATTTTGCAACTAGCAACATCCTATTCGTATATATTTGAAATTGATCTAATTCCATAAATTAAACCCTTATGTTTGACCCATAACGCCTCAATGATGGATTATGTAACGTCCATAATGACTATGAAAATGTTTGTTTCATTTGTAAAATATTTTCACCAGTGGCAGAGATTGTTTTTCCCTTGGACTTTGGCTTGGTTTCTGTAGATTTCCATTTCCAGGAGGAAGTGATTACTGCTTCTAGTTCGGCTATGCCGTTGGCCTAATTTTTCTCAGAAGGTGTCGGCGAAATTATAATGCCAAAAAGAATGGTAAATGATCTGAAACGCAGAAAACTATGGGCCCGCTGAAACAGGGGTTTATTATGTTATACTATTGATAATGTTGATGCTTACCAATAGCATTCAAACAAAATTTTTGTTGTTATTACTGTTACTTTACATAGCTTTGTTAAAAGTTAAAACAAGTGGGACACTCTCCATTTATCTTTTTAACTCATATTTTCTTACTATGACATGATTTAAAAAATAAGTGGCTGAACTGAAATCATACTTTTCAAAAACCAAATTGAGAAATCGATATTTACTAAGGGTAAAAAGAATTTTGTTAAATTAATTTCTTACGTCATAAACTTTATTCCTTTTATGGTTATTTTATCTACTTCACCTCGTCCAATTAAAATGATAGGGTTAATAATTAAAGTCACTAACAATATGTAATGGCAGCTTTCTAAAAGGAACATTTAAAGAGGGCCTAACAACTGTATTGGCAGCATATATACATGACTCCTATATGATCCACATCCACCCCTAGCTAATTATATACCTCTCATGGAGACTAGTAGGGAATAGAATGTACAAATTCTCATAATCATCTTAAGGATTCCAGGGTACTGTGAATCCTTCATGGCCTGTGCTTTTTCATGAGAATGGCAGATGTCCTGTTTGGTCCGTTCTTGACAACATAATGCCCTTGTGCATTGCCCCTTCACATGCAAAATGGCTTTGGCCTCCTACAGTATGTCCCCTATTTAAGGGATCAGATTGGTACTCCAACCCATTCAAGACGCATGGGAGCAACACCCGCCATCCAATCAGAGATAGCCATTTGTCATGTCCAAGTACATTCGCACACGTGGCAACTTTTCAGCGATTGTCTTGCATTGTTGTCCTATTGCTTTTGTCATATTGTTCCCCGCCATGAGGTAATTTCTGTAATAACCCAAGACATGAGTCTTTTTTTTTAAAAAAAAAAGAAAGACAGAAGACAGAGATTAGAGCGGAGACAAATGGAGGATTAACCTGAATATCAGCAAAGGTCATTGTGGCCTTTGGCTTGTGGTTTTGTGGTCTCAAAAGTGATGAGGAAAGGGACAACATCAGTCTAGCTGTTCCCACTTCATTTTAATCCTTAATCTGTGGATATCTTTGTCCTTTTATAACATTTGAGGTCCTCTTCTCTTCTCTTTTATTGGGCCCCCTTTTCCCTCCATTACTTAGGCACAACACAACTCCATCTCGTGAGAATTATATACATAATTCTTATCCATTTAAAAATATTAAAAAGGGAAACCAAGTTCTGACTGTAATTTTTTTTAACCTTTTAATATGCGTGTGGTGTATTATTATTTGTTAGTATGGGCTTAAGAATCTTGCAGAGACAGAGAAAACAAACTAAATGGTTGAAGAATCTCGACGGTAAAGGTTTGGGGTAACAAGGCATTTATGGCTTTAGTACTTGTTAGTGATTTGCTGAAGTGTGGGTTGATTCTGAAGGCAGGATTTAATGAGCTATAGGATAAAGAATGAAGCAAAGACAACGTAGTATGACCAAGGCAGGGTTCCTGAGCCCTGAAGGCACTCCAGTCCCTCCTACCAACCTGGCATCACTGTCCTAGCTGCTGCAGCAACCATGGAGAACAGATCTCAATGGACGAGATCCATCCACGTGTCGCTTTCAAATCATTGTCTCAATTTTCATAGGACCTAAACATATTCTATCATTCAAAGTTAACCAGATTTAAGTAAAAACAACACAGATGTATGTCTCTGTTCCTACTAATATAGATGCTTTGTAAGTATCTTGTTTCTTCTACAGCAACCCTTAAAGAGTGTTGTTAAGACACACACACACACACACATATATATATAGCAACTGAACAAGCATCAAAGGTTGAAAGCAAAGGCTGTTATGTCCATTTATATAATTGAAGCTGGAGAGGATGTTGGCACGCGCCATGGTTGAGGTGGACTGGAGATATTAATTGCTCATTATCACAAGTTGGCGTGGCCCTTCAGAAAAAGAAGAAGCAAGCATAATAATTCACAGAAAAGAGAGATGAGTCTGTGTGGGTCGTAGGAATGGCAGCTTTTGCTTTTGAAGGCTTTGCTCCTTTTGAACAATTTTAGGGGAATGACTGTCTGCTCAGGGCATTGACCCAAGATGCCTCAATGTGATCGTTAGCTCATAATGCTTTATGTGGAATCTTTCAAAAAAGCATGCACCCTTCTCCAACATTTACAGCACAAAAGACTCCAATTATAATATTGTTAAAAAAAACTTAACAGATTAAATTAAATAAAGAAAAGCCAAGAGAGATATTCGTGGGCCTCCCATAGTGGGTGACCAAATCTGATAATCCATTATCATCAATCTTGAACCCCCAAGTCTCTGTCCCACCTCGTTCTCGAGATTCTCACATTCTCAATACCTTAGGAAAAACAATATGGGGGTTTTGGGAGTTTACTCAATGGCCAAACCTGGGAATGTTGGATTCTTCATAACCCCATAATCCGTCTCATACATATACTGCTCAACTTGTGTGTTAAGTTTGGGTAGTTCAATACAACACTAATGCAAAGTTAGCAAATGCACATCTCTAGGCAAGTAGATGCTCCAAGGGAATTAAAAAATGAAACCATTTTGGTTTTTCTTCACCGAGAGAGAAAAAGCTTTCTGGTTTTATTCTGTTTGTCTAAGATCACCATTAATAATTCGAAGCCAAAAAGAAAGAAGAAATCACCATTAATAATTCCAGTGATGTCCCTCATGCTATCTCCAATACCATTTGCTTTATGTGCTGAGGTGTGCATAATATTATTATAATTCCTAAAATTTCTTTCTGCTTTCTTAGCATGTGCATGACTAACCCACCAGTGAATTTCCCATTCTCTCCTTGCCCATTGGAATTTCACCTGCAATTGGTTTATTTTGTTTATATATCATTTTCTTTACAGCTACCCGACTCATTGTCATTGATAGGCATGCCACTTCCCTTTGCACTACCCAAAACCTGTCTTTTCTTGTTGAGTTTGGCACGAGAGTTTTGATGAATGGGATTCTGGCATGGAAAGCAACAAGTTCGCGTCTTTCTTCTTCTGAAAATCACTGCAAACAAAGAAAGAACGTTCACTTGACAATTTGCTAACGATTCAATGTCTTTATCATAAAGCCGTATGGAGTCTCCATTCTCCAGAAGTGGTGTCTGGTTTCTAGGACATTACAATTGCATGGGAAAAATAAGAGAAGCTGTTCTCTGTTTTGTGGCACTACTTTGGTTATGGGGTTCCGCAAATGCTGTTCTTTCTCCTAAAGGAGTGAACTTTGAAGGTAAAACTAGAAATTTTCTTCCAGTTTCCAAATCTTTGCAATATATGGAGAAATCTGAACTGGATGTCTCTTAGTGTAGTGCAAGCTTTAATGGGCATAAAAGCTTCTCTGTGGGATCCTCATGGTGTCTTGGATAATTGGGATGCGGATGCAGTTGATCCTTGTAGCTGGACTATGGTTACCTGTTCGCCGGACAACTTGGTCATTGGCCTGTGAGTGTTTCTTTAATTTTCCATCTGAGCTCGAAATTATAGCCAATGAAAAAAGAAAAGAAAAGAAAGTAACTTCCAATAGTTTGGTAATCCTCTGCAAAATGCCAGTTAGATCAATTGTTGTTATGGTGGTGCAGGGGTACTCCCAGTCAAAGTCTAGCAGGTACTCTGTCTCCAAGCATAGGCAACCTAACGAACCTTCATATTGTGTGAGTAATCAGATGGCAAGGCCCAAATTTGAATTCTCTTGGTGGATGCTTCTTATTTCTTGTGCTAAATGTGTTCATGGCTACATTTCAGGCTGCTACAGAATAATAATATAACAGGTCCAATACCTTCGGAGCTGGGCAGGCTTTCAAACCTTCATACACTTGATCTCTCTAATAACTTATTCAATGGGGGAATTCCTCCCTCTCTCAGTCACTTGAGAAGCCTCCAATACCTGTAAGAACTTATGACCCAAAATTGGAAGCTTATAGCCTGTCATTATTCTCAAGTAAACTCTTCTGCAGTCTAAGGCTAATATTAAGCAATGGAAATGCTTTCAGGAGGCTCAACAATAACAGTCTTTCTGGAGAGTGCCCAGAGCCACTTGCTAACATGTCACAGCTTGCTTTTCTGTAATGTTCATATCCTCTTCTTTTGTATCACATTAAGTTGATTCTGTTTTCTGTATCTCTGAAGATGGTTTCTTGTTCTGTGATATGATTCCAGCGACTTGTCCTACAACAACCTTAGTGGCCCTATGCCTAGAATTTTGGCCAAATCATTCAAGTAAATGTCTATCTCGCTTGTGGTTTCGCTCTAGTTTAGGTGTGTTTCTGCTGGCCCGAAAAGCAGAAACCTAAGCGCTTGCCACTTTAATGATTCTCAATCTCCTGTGATTTCAGCATTGTCGGAAACCCTCTTGTATGTGGTACGGGGAAAGAGGCAAAATGCCATGGCATGATGACATTAATGCCCATGTCCATGAACTTGAACACTACAGAGGGTAAGACTTCCTCAGAATTGCTTTTTCCTTCGTGAAATTTTAACCGGTTTTTCCTTACATTAACAATCTGATATATTCTGCAGTCACTGTTTTAATTCCATCATCAATTTTTTGCTTCCCCAGATGCTATATCATCAGACAAAACAAAATCACACAAGGTCGCCATTGCCTTTGGCCTAAGTCTAGGATGTCTTTGCTTGATAGCTCTTGGTTTTGGGCTATTTCTGTGGTGGAGGCACAAGCATAACCAACAGGCATTTTTTGATGTCAAAGGTAACATATTATCACTGTGCAACACTGGTTATAAGTAATTTAATGACGTATTTGATCAATCCCATGATATAATTGGGATGTTTCAGACCGGTATCATGAAGAAGTGTACCTTGGAAACCTGAAGAGATTCCAATTCAGAGAACTCCAGATAGCCACTCACAACTTCAGCAGCAAGAACATTCTGGGAAAGGGCGGCTTTGGAAATGTGTACAAAGGAGTGCTCCCAGATGGAACTCTTGTAGCTGTCAAGAGGCTTAAAGATGGCAATGCCATAGGAGGAGAGATCCAATTTCAGACTGAAGTTGAAATGATTAGCTTGGCCGTGCACCGAAACCTCCTCAGACTCTACGGATTCTGTATAACACCGACTGAAAGACTTCTGGTTTACCCTTACATGTCTAATGGCAGTGTCGCTTCCCGTCTAAAGGGTAGGCTCAAACCTACAATTCTTCATTGTCGTATCTTCACACTACCTGTTCTATTATATGCTGATTTGGTACCAAACTGATGATCAACAGTTAAACCAGTGTTAGACTGGGGCACTAGGAAGCAAATTGCCCTGGGGGCAGCCAGGGGACTCTTATACCTTCATGAGCAGTGTGATCCAAAGATAATTCATAGGGATGTGAAAGCTGCAAACATATTACTTGATGACTATTGTGAGGCAGTAGTTGGAGATTTTGGGTTGGCAAAGCTTTTGGATCACCAAGATTCACATGTTACAACTGCAGTGAGAGGCACTGTGGGGCATATTGCTCCTGAGTATCTTTCCACTGGGCAATCCTCTGAGAAAACTGATGTCTTCGGATTTGGCATTCTCCTTCTTGAACTGATCACAGGCCAGAGGGCTCTAGAATTTGGGAAGGCCGCAAATCAGAAAGGGGCCATGTTAGATTGGGTAATGCTTGCTTGTCTTCTTTTACTTTATTTGCTACTTATTCAAACAAATCTTTCTCAATCTCATATTGTTAAGGCAAAAGTAAACTGAAAAAGTGCTTTATCATTTATGGTGTTGCGATTCAGGTGAAGAAAATTCATCAGGAGAAGAAGCTAGAACTGTTCGTGGACAAGGATCTGAAGAACAACTATGATAGGATTGAGCTGGAAGAAATGGTTCAAGTGGCTCTCTTGTGCACTCAATACCTTCCCGGGCACAGGCCCAAAATGTCGGAAGTAGTAAGGATGCTGGAAGGAGATGGATTGGCAGAAAGATGGGAAGCTTCTCAGAGAGCTTATATGAGCAAGTGCAAGGCTCTTGAATTGTCTTCATCTGATCGATATTCTGATCTCACTGATGACTCCTCGATGCAAGTCCAGGCCATGGAACTTTCAGGTCCTAGGTGAAGTTTGTGTAACTACTTTTTTGTTTGTTGGTTCTTATAAAGAAAGCATAGGATGGTTGAATCTGTTTAGATATTATTTGAAGATTATATTTGTTGTATGATAGCTTTCCAAATGTACAGAATCTTATTCGTTGCATGATAGCTCTGGGAGTGAAAATTATTATGTCAGGCTTAAAATTAAATTAAATGCAATGGAATGCGAATCTTGAATGGGTCTTCACTTTACCTATGATTGTAACAAAAATGATTTCCACTTCTCTTCTGCTTATTTCCTTCATGTTTGAAACCTTGCCCCACACACACAGATCCCACAATGCATTTCCATTTTTTTTTTTTGTTGACAAAAGCAATACATTTCTGATTGATAGTAAAACGGATAGACGAGTCTGCTTGGGGAAAAGTAACTGGAAAATATTGAATTAACCCAAAACATCTAACTCGTCATTTCAAAAGCCTTAAAGATATAGAAAATGGGGTGAAAAATCAACTTCTATCAGTCTACATTAGCAAGTAAATGCATTCTATATTTCTATATCCTACCACAATTCTGCTAATGTTTTCAAGGGGAAAAAACTTCGATATTTCTTTTCACAACGGGAAAAAAAGCCATCTAGTATCACTCTAAATAACTTTCTCTTAACATATGTAATTGGTCCAAAAACTACAGTATTTCAGATTCAGCACATTTTCAAAAGGATAAGCACCTTTTTCACCCTCCGCGAACTAAGGCTTACTAACCAGAGTGTTCTGAATAACAATTAATACAAGTATTGATTAATTCGATCAAAACAGGACATTTGTATAAAGTGACGATATCTCACTAATATGTGGATTGTATCCTGTGTGACTAGAGAAATGTAAATATAAAATACGACTCGTATATGTTGGACTTCATCGATTTAGTCCAAAGGATCCAAATACGCGAGGTTCTGGTGTAAATTGAGAAGAGTCTAATTGTGGTATTCTTGGGGTCAAAACTCATAAGGCCGTTTTCGGCCCTAAGAGTGGGTGTTGAGAAGCAGTCAATTTAAAAGGACAGATACCAGGGAGGTAAACTGGTCTTTTTCCGTTTTGCTTTGGGCTTGAGAGCCCACCCCATACCCAAGGAAATTTGGGTCGAGTTTGATTCAAGAACGTCCATCCCAGATCTAGATTTTTAGGGGGAGGCGTTCAAAATTGGAACCCAAAATAAAATAATTGGCCTCGTGATTTCTAACCTTGACCCTCCACGGCCCAGTTATTGGAATCATCGTTCCCTTCTCCTGGGCTCAGTCGCAGATGACCGTAATTGCCTGGCTTTAGCAGAACTGTTCGGAAATAATGAGACCCTGCCAGAATCTTTGCTTTGTGCTTAGCATTACAGGGGTGTTTGGCATTCTCAAAATCGTAGTTTCAGAAGTATTTTTTCGCAAAACGAAATAACCTCTTCCATATATTTACTTCGTAATCCGTAAAAGCACTTCTGAAACCATGGTTTGGTTTCTATCCAAACACCATCTATGTTACGAAGTAGCTCGGCCGAGGACACACGTGCAGAAATATATTGATAATAATCCAGCTCATTCGTACAAAGCCCCCGTACTTGAAAATTGCGTTTGGATGGAAATATAAAAGATAAAATTATAGTATTTAGATAGAAATCAAATCATAATTTTAAAAATAATTTTATGATATATAAAATAAATATATAAAAGAATTTGTCTCGATTTATAAAAAATATTTTTTAAAAACATTTTCAGGGTTATTTAAATATCCCCTGAGTACGTGGCAGTAGCACGTGGGCATGGCATGGTAGTTGCATGTTCATATCTGTGTCTCTTACGCAGGCGGCTGCACCAGTTGAGGATCAAATGTCACGCAACGAATTGCAAGTGGATGCCTTTGTCTAGTCCCATCAATATATATAACCAATTTCCTCTCTCTCTCTCGGTTAAATGCACAAGTCATTCCATTGAAAAATTACAATTAAATCTCATAAAAAAATTATAAAATAAGTACTAAAAGTTATTATTTTTTATTATAAGATTTGTCATTATAAGTTTCTCAGATTGTTATCGAGACTTTTTAGTAATTATTTTTTTTTCTGTAAAACTTGATTGCAATTCTCTTTTTTTTAAAACACACACCATTTTACCCAGAAAAGAAAAAACACACAGAGGAACGATTACATCACATTTGAATTTATTTTTGAGTTTTTCTTATTGAAATATAAGTCGTAAAAAAGGTATTTCTATCAATTTATCATGACTGAAAAGTACTATTTTTTTTTAACAATTTCGATTATTAGTAATGCATGTTCGAGCTTTACACGTTTAAATATGGAAATTAACAGTTAACATAAGTGATATTGAAAAAAAAATCTAATCAAACACCATTAATGTTCAAGTTTTGCGATAAAACTTAATTGAATTTTCCATCGTTTTAGCCCAGAAAACTCAAGTCATAGTCAGCAATTAGCATGGGGCTCACTCGCTTTGGTGGAGTGTGGAAGAAGCGCAGCATCCCGAAACAGCAAACTGCAGTTGAATTGAATAATTGGTCTCCCCCCTTCGGTCGTCAGATGACAAAACAACACATTTTGCAAAAGCCCTGTCTCACCCACAACACAGCTAGCTACCTATCTCGGCCAATCCAAGTCATGGACAGAACCAACCAGGAGATCCATTCATCAAACCAGTAATCAGCTAGCCCACTTGTTTCCTACTTTAATTTCTCCCCTAATCTCATTATCTCCACTCTTTCTCCGCTGTGAACTATAAAGATTTCTTTTTCACTGACTCTATCCTCATCGGGTATTGTGTGAAACCCCTTTCCTTTGGCTTATTATATTTCGTTCATATCCATTCATATTCACGCTCTTTAAAGCTTATCATTATTACACTGCCCTGACTTATGGCAACTGCAATCCCATTTTGGTTTGGCGTACGTCCGTGATCTCGCAGAGCGGATCTCTAGTTTCTGTCGTATTAACACTTCTCATTTCTTAATCCATCAATAAATATCTTAAGATTTATAATGAAGTAGTGATAGAAGGGGATGAAGCTCGTATACATTTTGTTTGATGTATACATTTTTATCTTTTCGCTCCAGTATCTCCACGACTTACCGAATAAAATAATAATTCAGATAACTTCAATGAGTCAAACTTTTCAGGTTTAAACGTCATATATATGGCCTTTCTCATAGCTAGGTCCTAGCCACTGTTTTTAGCTTCTCTGTAGAACGAGTATAAATGTTTCTTTTGATCATTCGAAGGTCAGTCGTCTCACGTACGTTGTATAGCATTGAAAAATAAGTTACGTTAACGTTATTTTATGACTTGCAGTTTTTGAGACTTTTGCTGGTAATGATGGTGATGTTTGGTTTAGTTAACCGAACCAGACCGAAAATGATATGGCTAAGGTGAGGATGAGCACCAGACAAGAAGAGAGGTGGAGTAAAAGAGGAGTAAGTTATAAGAAGGCGAGAGACGCATTAAACTTCATTTTTCCCTTTGTCTTCCAATTTATTTACTGTTCCACTATTCTCTTTATTAGTGTTGTCCGTATGCATGAAGCCTTTTAGCCTTTTTGCAGTGTAGGAATTCATCGTAGCGAGGCCCCATATTGTTTTAAGTTTGAGCCCCTTTCACTTTCCCGGAAAGTAGAGTCCGAGTTCCCATATGCTTCTTATTATGCTTTTGAACTTGCGTGACTGAGGAGGTAAAAGATGTCCAAGACTGAAAACCAGACAAAAATTGTTAGGTCACTTTACCTATCAATCCTCCTCCCACTCTCTTTCCTGCTACCCTGTACTTTATCCCTCTTCCCTCAAATCAGTCGCCATTTATCTGATAATAATCAACTCCTCTTTCTCAGTCAGAAAATAAAAGACAGACACAGTTCCACAGCCTGAGCGAGGTTTTCAAAGACTTCACATTTCAAGTTTCTGAATATATGCCACTGTATAAGTACACGCTTTGCTTGTGGCATAAGCTCATCTTCGTGTTCTTGGTCCCAAACCTTCTATATTCTTACATGCTCTCGGCCTTGGCTGCCCACCAAACTCTCTCTTTTGAGAATGCTATCGGGGACTTTTCTTTATCGTTCAAGTGGATTGCTGCTATGTGCCATGGCGTTGACTCCGGATGGATAGCGAGCAAGAAGCCAGGGTTTTGATGGTGCTATCCTTGTTGAGCTTTATGTTAATTAATATGTTTTCATGTTAATTTTTTTTTTCTTGACCTTGCAAGGCTTGAAAATTCCCAGGTGTTCATTATGGATGCCTTTTGCTTTGGTCTTCCTTTTAAACTTCCTTCTCACCATCTCAATCACGACCATATTATCATTTCTTTGCTATTCCTCCTGAGCTTTATTTGCCTGTAAGAAATTTCATGAATGTAAGCACGCAGTATTCTCGTTCCATGGAACACTAGCAACACGGTTGTTTTCTTACTTTACCATGGTGGATTCATATGCGAGTAGAAGCCAGATAGATTTAGTACTTGACTACCCGAAATGTTAAACTGCGTTATGCAAACGGCCAAATGGCCAAATCCCACACTGGCTGACAAGTTCATCAGCACCACAAAAGCCTTCAGTTTCTTCTCACACTTCAATTGTTGGTAACGGGAGTGACAGGTAAGAGCATGTCAATTTTTTCCAGTTTAACGTATTGACCAAAAATTGCTTAAGAACAAAACCTATTGTCTATCGTGATGAACGATCGTTGTCCTCGTCACTCTTTCCTGAGATTAAGATCTATTGCACGCGATATCATTCACATCAACACTGAGCTCCCCTAGATCAAATTTTTCGCTAAAGGATGAAACTTATGGTCTCCATAAACGTAACGCTGGAACTAAAAAGCAGTACTAATCTGAGAATTGTTCCGCGCAAATTATATTTCCTTCCGATGGTGTACAGCCGTCGAGAATCCAGGATGCATGATTTACGTTATTGAGGAGATTGGAAAATATCCAGGCGCTCCTTTTTATCATGGTATGGCAACATGCATGTAATGATGTTTTGTTTGAGAGACGGAATCCTCTCTCTGTGTGCATAAATATCAGCCTTATTGTTTGGGAGAAAAACGGTAATTTTTTTGTTTTTAATATAGAACTTAATTATTAAGTTAATTTTGATCCTAGATATAAGACATATTTATTATATTTATTAATTTTTTTAAATTATTCTTATAGATATTTCTTCAATTATAATCAAGTAAGTGTGGGAGTAAGATATTAAAAAAAAATTATAGTGTTTTAGAAAAAACATATTATATTTCTTATAATTAACTAACTTACCTAATTTTTTTAATCTAACTAAATTAATTAGATAGGTCTTGTACGTAAGAAATATATGAGTATAAGAATTACCGTCTCCCTCCATTTTTAAAAGTGGTTCTGCGTTTGTATAAGCATCATATTGTAGTGGCGTGTGGATGTGGGCCGGGTCGCTCAGGGGCGACAAAAGTAACTGGATTATGGGTCGTAGGAAGATATTGGGATATGTTGGGTCACTGAAGCTGAACTGCTTGCCCTTAGAACGGGACTCCACGTACGACAACTGATGGGTTGGGGCAATAACACGGGGTACATGGTTAGATGGAACATTTTGACTCGGGACCGGGATTGTGATCCAAATCTGGTTACCCAAAAAACACTTTTAACGTGTGCACGTGAGTGATGTAAGTCAAAACAAAAGTTTTTAAATCCATGTAAATTGAAACAAAATTATTTTTATGTTATTTTTAAAAGTATGGTTTGATTTTTACTCAAAACACCCCCTAAATCACCCATTGCCGTCAGTCATCCCAGAGATTAGAGAGATGTTATATGCCAAATGGATGGTGGAACTACATCACATTTGCAGGGTTTTGCTGGTGGGTGTTAATTGTCTAGCTCCAACATATAATCACAAATTAATGAGAGGGACATCACATCTCGAGTAAGACGGTGCTGATACCCGCTGTGCCAACTGGATGCTTAGGAGTTTTCCCATAAGATAAGCAATTTTATGCTAAACCGTGCTGTGCTTACTGGGAGTTAGTCCTAGCTTCGGTGCTTTCAGGGTTTGGCTTTCCTTTGTAAGTCTTTTTTTTTATAAATGAATAAATACTCCAAATAGCTAGTCATTTTGCAACTATATATGTTTATTCTGGAAAAATATTTATTTCGGTCGTTAACTCTTGAAAGAAAGAAAACGCCTTTTTTGGGGAATTTAGAAGGATGGTTCTCAAAGGAATCGTGAGTTTTTTTTTTTGGGGGGGGGGATGTTGGTTGGGGAGTCACCAAAATAGGTTGGAAAACACATGGGCTTGAGTATTGAAAGGTGGCTGGGGGCCCAAGAAAATAGAAAGAGACAGTGGCGGGCGATAAATAGAAAGTCAGTTGTCGTTTTGAAAGAACACTTTATTGGCAAGGCCAATAAAACGAGAAGAGAAATGTTAAATGGGGGGGGGGGGGGGGGATGTTGGTGGGGGAACAGGGAGAAGATGAGACGGGAGGGAGTGAGGATAATGACTGGACAGGTAAGCAAATAAGAAATCAGAGTGCAGCAGTGGAGGGAGGCTGAGTTAATTGATTGGCAGGTGGAAGAACACAAGAATTATATGGTTGATGGGAAGCTTTCCCTGGGCTGAGCCCCTGCGACAGCGAAGGTAGCAAAAAACTAGTGGGTATAATTCATTATGGCAGGAGTCTGGGACCATCACGACTCTCCCTTCCACACTTAGTAGCCACATATTTCCCTCTTCCCCTCTCTTTCCTGCGCGTCCTTGTCCAAATGGGTCGCTCTTCATGTCATCACGTCCCCTTCCCCCACCACCTCATTCCTATCTTCCTCCCCTTCCATTCTCATCCAATTTACCATCCCTACGTGTCCGTCTCTTAACTCCCGTTCTACTCACTCCCCTATTCGCCTATTCCGTATAAAAATTAGTTACCGTTGAATTTCATTGTTAAATATTAGACGATTTCATATATCATATTTATCTTTTTTTCTTGGGTATCAATCTAACTTATAAATTAATGTACAATTTAAGACTTTATAAGGGTGAGATTATGATTAACTTATTTAGTTAAGTGATTTTTAAATACCGGAACTTTGGCATCAACTTATCTGCTCCGCCTTACGCTGATCATTCTGATTGGATGTCCTTCTTTTTTTTTTGGGCCAAATTCTGCTTGGATGTCAAGCGATTGACAAATGACCCAAATGGATGGCAGAAGTCCTTCCTCGTGAATTCCACGAGCGTTGCTTGTGAATTCCATCTTTTTTTTTTTGGTTTTTTAGTAACGAAGTTCGTTTTCCAATCAAAAAATTATGGATTTTTCCGAAGTCATGCCAAGCCATGCTTCGTCTTTCCCAAATACCGAGCAAACACTGAAGGGGCCTTGGACCCTTGGTTATGGGAGCAGAGTCAGCTGGATTTGCTTGAGAGGGGAGAACGGGGTGAGGATTAAGGAATTTGGTTGGGCCCACGGGCCACGTGAAGAGAGAAAGCAACCTGCTGGTTTTGATTCAGGACCACACTGCTTTTTGTGGCGGAGGTGCATCCTAATCTGTTGGCATCTTACGTGGCATCCAGGTATTGGACTGTAATATTCCCACTTGAATGATCTGACTCATCTCTGCTGCCCTTGTAATGCCTGCACTTGGCTCCTTGTCAGCACCGACTATGACAGCTATGCCTTGAAACCTCGCCACAAGTCAGCATTTGTATGCTGATGTGGTGCACATTGCTTATTTCCCGGGGGGGAAAAACAAAGGGTTCACCTAGACTTTAATGCCCCGAGAATTAACCAAAGTTATTTTATTTTAAAATATATATATTTAATAAAAAAATTTAGTTCTTTAAAAAAAATACAAATATCTTTTAAACCCCCCGGGGGCGGGGGATTGCTGTGAGAGCGTGAATCGTGGAACGGTGGAACACATGGAAATACTGGGACAGAAAAAGTGACCCCAAAAAAGGGTTCTTTAATGACGGAAAAGGAAACTAAGAGAAGTGGGCCCCCCACCTCTCTGACTCAACCCCTTGCATTCACAGCCAGCCACAAGATAATGCGAAACTTTTTGACACCAGTAGCTCATCGCCACGTGGCAAAACTGGATTCTCTCTCCCGACGCAGTTACTACTTACAGGGCCTCCTCTTACTCCAGCACGTCGTTCCCCTCCCCAACATTTCAACAACGCAGAAGAAGGATGCTGAAAGAAGGCAGTGGCAATGGCGTCAGCAGTAATAATAGCTGGGCACGTATCTGTGACACCTGCCGCTCTGCTCCCTGTGCTGTCTACTGCCGCGCCGACATGGCTTACCTCTGTACCGGCTGCGACTCCCGCATCCACGCAGCCAACCGCGTCGCCTCCCGCCACGAGCGAGTCTGGGTTTGCGAGGCTTGTGAACGAGCCCCCGCTGCGTTTCTCTGCAAAGCCGACGCTGCCTCCCTCTGCTCCGAATGCGACGCCGACATCCACTCCGCCAATCCCCTGGCCAGCCGTCACCACCGCGTCCCCATTCTCCCCATCCACGGGCCTCCTTCCCCGGGGTCTGCTCCTGAGGGGGATGATGGTTTTCTAGCTCAAGGGGGCGATGAGGCGGAGGAGGAGGAGGTTGTTGATGAAGAGGATGAAGACGAGGCTGCCTCCTGGTTGTTGCTGAATCCTGTCAAGAACAACAACCACAACAACACTAGCAATTCCAACACCAACAACAACAATCAGAGCAATGGATTTTTGTTTGGTTCTGGGGAGGTTGATGATTATTTGGACCTCATGGATTGCAATTCATGTGCTGAAAATCAGTTGACCGATCATTACAATCAGCAGCAACATTATGGTGTTCCTCAGAAGAACTATGCCGGTGACAGTGTTGTTCCGGTTCAGCAGCAGCAGCAGCATTTCCAGTTGGGTTTGGACTTTGATTCATCAAGAACTGACTACAGTGCTTTCAACGGTTCCGTTACTCAAAATGTAAGCTGCTTTTCTTTTCCTTCGTGTGTTCGCATCTTTTTGTTCCTTTCATCTCCGAACCATATAAATCAAGCCCACCCCTATCTGTCCAATTCCAGCTCCCTAATCATCAAACTGTCGCTCCCAGCTGGGAATTCACGTACGATTTTGTTCTCTTTTCTGGCATAACCAAATTAAGCAATATTTCACCTTCCTGGTTTTGTTTCTCTATATCACTATAAGTACCTGGTTTTAGACCCGCCTTATTTTCCTTAATAACCTCATATGCCTCATTAATCACATCTTTACGGTCTAGAGTGATAAATGGCATCCCTAGTCTCTACGCTTTTATATGCCACGTTTCACCTCTATTTAGTCTTTACCCTTTTCTCTTTCACTTTATTCTCGGCGCAAGGAATCTAAAACCAAAGCACACATAACATACATGCTTTTCTTCTCCTGGAAACGGTTCTTCTATATTCAATTGGATTAGGGGAGGCAATAGTTTTCCAAATAAATAAGGAAGTTAATTCTACTCTCTAAGCACTTTAGTCTCAGCTGTTTTAGTGAGATTTTGCTCACACTTACTATGCGTCAAGCGGATGCACTCATCCGACTTCCTTGGAACATGTCTGATTTTTCACTGACGTCCTTATCCCAAGTGGACTACTTCATTCGAAAACAAACAGCTAGCACACTATTTGATAGATGGTTTTAAGGTCACTGACTCACTGCTAATTAATGTTGTTGCATTGCCAATGTGTCTTCATGCGTTAACCCATTTTGTTCGTTATTTGGCTTTAAATTAGGTTTCGATGTCGTCAATAGATGTTGGCATTGTACCGGAATCAACTATCAGCGATGGCTCGATTTCCCATTCAAGACCTCCAAAAGGGACAATTGACCTTTTCTCTGGGCCTCCAATTCAGATACCTTCGCAGCTCAGTCCGATGGACAGGGAGGCTAGGGTGTTAAGATACAGAGAGAAGAAGAAGACAAGAAAGTTTGAGAAGACAATAAGGTATGCCTCTAGGAAGGCTTATGCAGAGACCAGACCTCGCATCAAAGGTCGATTTGCAAAGAGAACAGAGGTAGAAGCTGAAGTGGACCAGATGTTCTCTACTTCTCTAATGACGGATGCTGGATATGGCATTGTTCCTTCTTTCTGATCATGAGCTGCAGTATGTGTCGGAGAAGTCTCAGAATAGAAACCTCGACAAATTTATGCATTAATCTTCTTACTAATGTTCTGTCCGTCTTTATTATATATATATATATGTAATAAAATCATATATTTATTAGTTTGCAAATGTATGTTTTATAGATTTCTTGGTTGACTTTTTGGATGGTTCATTCTATTTGTAAATACAATCCTTCCATCAAATCAATAGACTGCATCCAAGATTTTGAAAATTCGTTATATGTCTTCCTTACACACACACACACGTACACACCCACTCTCTCTTTCTCATACACCCCCCCCCGGGGAAAAAGACGCGGGTTTGAGCTACCTGGTCACCTTATATGGGTTTAGTGAAGTTGATCCAATTAACTACCCTGTTGATACAATGGCGGCGGACCAGATTAAAGGTTAATTAAATGCTGATTAGTAATAAATCGTTTTTTATATCTCTTGTATTTCATGTTAACTGTTGAAGCCTGCAATTGAGTTGTGTGTTATATTGATAACAAGTTGTAGTTGCTTCATGTGCAAGGACTGAAACCAGCGTTTGCATTGTATCTTGGAAATAGACGCTTTAATCAAATATTTGTTTAAATCGGATTACGAGCATGCAGGTCTAAGGATGAAATGTTTCACTATATTAGTGGATTTGTAAATTTTATCTTTTATAAATCGGATGTTGATAAATTGACATGATCCATCGATCAAAGAAAGTTAATTCAAATCAACACATCGTAAAGTGTGCTCTCTCCGCTTAATAGCATATCGTAAAGTGCGCGATGGAAAAGCTGAGCTGCACTTTTTGTCACGGTGGAACCAAAAAATTGAGAGGGATATCAAAGTAAACCAAATGAACTATTGGGAGATTCGTTCTTCATGTTACTTTATGCCCATTGTGTGATAACTCAGAATCAGAAGCACGAAAGGAAAAAAAGAAAAAGAAAAAAGCACAGACGCTTTTACCTTTAAATTGCAGGTTGCGATATATTGTCCAGGAACATCGGAATACACCTTGATATTAATGTCTACATTAACATTCGTCTCCATTCAATTCCCTCCACCCCAGAAAGAAACTAAGATTCAAGTTTGTACCACTTTCCCATTCGTATGAAGCGAGGCCGAACTTTTTCACTTTCCCCCCCTGAAGGATATGTTCACATCGACGTTTAACCGGCCTCGTATTTTTCTGACGGCATGTACAGGATAAAAATTCTCATGAAGGATTCCCTTTATTCTCCTATAAAGTGTATCTCGAGGGATTCACACGACTTTTAAGTTCTTGTCTGTAGCGTACATGTCGACCCAGGTGGCCAGGTTTCTCAAGAAATTAAGCTCATATGTGTGCGCGCGTGTGTATTCTTCCTACCTCAAAAATCTTCAACTTCCTCATCCTGCCTGGTTAATCAAACTCTGTCCTATATCATTCATGCCCACGCTATTAATAACTCCAAACTTCTCACTCTCAAGAAGATTGGTTTGCTTTCTATATAACTAGATTAAGCATTAAAAATGGCTTTTGAGCAATAAACGTGAAATTATAAATATAGCCAAAATTTGGAGTCTGAGATTGCGTGAAATCTCTTGTACATGTTGTATATATAAACTTAGAGATTAAACTCGCATGTTACTAGCTCTGATCCTTAATATAAGACCGTATTTGACTTTTATTTTGATTTTAAATATAAGATCTCAATCCACTTTGTCTCTCATATTTATATATATTTTTTCAATATAGTCCTCATAATAATGGTAATTACAACCAATACACTTAATTAGTAAGGATATTTTAGGAAAAACAACACATATTTGTTTCAAATAACTGACTTAACTTTTTTTTAATCTCCTCAAATTAGTCAACTAGCTCTTATAATTAGGACCGGAACTAGTATTAGTTAATGTGGATTGTGGTGCATGGAAGTGTGAAGCCACGATGAGTCATCGGGATCCAGCAAACTGAGCACACGTTTTCACTTTTTGCTGTTGGCATGTATGACGTAGGAGGTGTTTGGATGAAAATGAAATCATAGTTTTAAAAGTGATTTTACAGTATATAAAGTAAATATGTGGAGAAATTTATCTTGATTTATAAAAAAATGCTTTTGAGAAACACTTTTAAAGTTTTCCAAACACTCGTGTAACTTGATTGAGACGCTTCTTTGGTTATACTTTTCATTAATTTTCAAAAAAGTAGAATTTTTTGTGGAGCTTCTTTGGTTATACTTTTCCGTTCCTTCCTTAGTGGAAAAAATGTAATGTAAGAGTAAATATTAATTTTGTATGTAAAATTTATTCCACATGTTTATTAATTTTTTTAGAATTTATCTTATTGATATTTTCTGAGGGAGGAAATTGAGAAATATTGGTTAAGTGTTTTGAAAAAAGATATTACCTCCTATCTTTAATATAAAAACTAGTTGACTAATTTGAGTAGATTAAAAAAGTTTGTTAAGTTAGCTGTTTATATTAAATATGTTTTGTTTCTTCTAAAATCCCTTGTTAATCATGTGTATTAGTTAAAACTACTATTTAATAGAATATTTAACATGCGTAACTAATATAAGGACTACTTTTAAAAAATAGATAAACATGAGAGACTGAGTAGATTAAAATCTTATATTTAGAACCAAATCAAGAGTCAAACAAGCTTTTATATTAAGAATTGGAGGTAGTATGTCATATTAACTAATTTCATTAACTAATATCATTAATATACTTAAATTAATTATGTTTTACATTAACTATTAATTAATTTACTTGAACTTGCTGCACCCAGCGTTTTTGAATCCTCCGACGGAAGAGTAATTAATTTATACTTCTTCAATTTCACATATTTTTAATTTCAGAATATTCGTTTGAAAAGAGAAAATGAAGGATGCCTCACTTAGGAACAAAGGCTTGTCGGGTTTGACGCAGTGCCCTGGCGACGCTTCGGGATACAGCGTTACTGAGACGCGTCATATATCTTGACACCTTGGCTTGCAATCGCAATCTGCGTATTATTTAAATACTCCTCCGGTCCTAATTATAAGACTCAATTGACTTATTTGAAGAAATTAAGGAAGTAAGTTAAATTAGTTGTTTATAATAAATAAGTGTTATCATTCCTAAAATATCCTTACTAATTAAGTATATTGGCTAAAACTATCATCACTAGAAAGATTATCTTGGAAAAAATGCATAAATATAAGAGACAAAATGGATTGGGGTCTTATAATTAGGACCAAATAAAAAGTCAAATGGGGTCTTATAATTAGGACCAAATAAAAAGTCAAATGGGGTCTTATAATAAGGACCGGAGGAGTATAATATCTTATGTACCTCTACGGCCAAAAAATATATTATGCATTTATTTCTCTTCTAAACGGCTCGTTTTATGTCCCCATGTAGTGTTACAGGTTACAAAAATATGGTTTCAGGAAAGCTTGAGATTATAAGATATAATAAAAAAAATCGCAAACATAAAAACATTAATTATGAGGATATTAATTATTGTCAAAAATGGGTAATTCTGGTCCTATCAGAGATAATCATATTCAAAACATTATTGAATACTAAATATAAACACTTTTCTCAACAAAGATTTAAACCTTGATTCGTTATATTGTAAAATACTAGCTCTTTCTGTCAGGCTAACCCCATTGATATTTCATTTTATTCTTTTTTTGGGTAAAATTTTTATTTTATTCTCAATTATTTGTTAAAGCGTTCTTTATCCCGCACTATGAGAATAGTTCAGGCCTTTTATTATGTTGCGAATTGTATTTAAAAAAATGGGCCAAGCCATTTTGCTAAAGCTCTTGTTGAAATTTGGAAGTAATTTTATCCGATTGGGCTAAAGCTCTTTTTGTATATAAAAAAATGGCCTAAGCTTTTGACGAATGTAAAAAATAAATGGGCCGTTCTTTCATTATTGACATGGACCATTAATGGGCCTCACTGAGATGGGTTTATTTAAAGGAAGGCCCAATGACTCCTAAGACAGAAACCCTCTCTTTTGATTTTCCTTCCCTCCACCGCCATCGCCTAGGAGCCGTCGTCACCCATCAGCTTCTCAGTAGGCTTTGCGCCGTTGGCTTCGAGAAACCTCGTCTTTCTCATAGCTGACACCTCGTTTGGGATAGCCCTTCCGTCCTGAAGACACAGGTGCTCCTTTTCTTCTCTTGTTCTCTTCTGTTGATTCCTTTCTTTTCATTCACGTGCACCTTCCTCCTATCAAGTGAACACCCCGTGGTGTGGATAGTTAACTCTTCTTTTTGTTGGTTGTCTTTGCTCCTGGTAGTAAGGGGATTTACGCGTTAAGTGTTCTGCATGAAAAATTGTCTCTGAACCAAGAAAATTAGCAGCGTCCCTTTTACAATTATGTTTCCTGGGTGTATCAGATTTTAAAGCAACAATGGGGAAAAAGAGGAAGCACAGTGAGACGGAAGCGGTGGCTCCATCAAAAAAGGATGATGTTGCACCAGAAAGACCAGCGCGGACTCTTTTTGGTTGGAGGGATAAGAGCAAAGTAAAGGATGAAATGGGGGGTGCTGACTCGTCCAAATTTAGGAACAAAGAAAAGGTTTTAGTTACATGCTCACGACGCATCAGCTATAGGTACGAGCAAATATTTATATTGGTAGTGCTTACTTTGTGGGTTAAACTTTCTGCATGCTGCTAATCGGCTGGGATTATTTCCTTATATTTTAGGTACCGGCATTTGATGTTGAACTTGGTTTCGCTTTTACCTCATTGTAAGAAGGATAACAAAGTTGAATCTAAGGATACCAAAGGCGCCACCCTGAATGAGCTTGTCGAGCTTAAAAACTGCTCTTCCTGTTTATTCTTTGAGGTATTCTTTCATTTGTCACGATAAGTTCTGGGTGTGATTGTAGATTGGCTGTACTGCATGTGCTGTGCTTTCATTGCCGCGTAAAATATATGTTAAATGGCATGTCAATATCCAAGCAGCATGATTTTGATTGAGCTATCAGCTAATTGAGGCATTATTTTGCAGGGTTTTTCAGTTGGATTCTTATTCATACCTTAGATATTGTTAACTTGTTCCATTCTTTTTTTTTTTGTGCTCACCTTTTATTTTTATGAATTTCAGTGCAGGAAGGCTAAAGATCTTTATCTCTGGATGGCAAAATGCCCTAATGGGCCGTCTGTGAAATTTTTAGTTAGTGCTGGTAATATTCTTCTGTGATTATTTCTCTTCTGTGCTAATGTGCTTACTATGGTTAAAAATTTTCTGGGTTCCCTACTCTTTATTCGGCTGCTCTTATTCTTCCCAGACAGATTGGTTCTATATGTGTGGGTTTTTCCTGTTTATTACTTAGCCTCCAGGACCATTTTTTTTTTTTTTTCAACCGTTCATATTTTACTTGGCTGCTTTTCAGTGCACACAATGGAGGAATTGAAGCTAACTGGAAATCATCTAAAAGGTTCCCGCCCACTTTTGACATTTTCAGCAAATTTTGAAAGGGATACGCATTGGAAACTATTAAAAGAGATGTTATTGCAGGTATTCCGCTTGTTCTTTCTCATCAGTATTAATTCTCTGCAGTCTGCGGTTCTAGTTGTTTTCATTTGAAGCGTTGGCTGGGAAATCCTCTGATAACATTGCTTTTACTCTTGTGAAAACTGTTTCATCAACAAACAAAACAGAACTTTGAGAATATCATTTTAATTCGTGCAGTATGTATGCTGGTCTAATTAATACTATTTAGTTTCCGTATCCTGAGACGTGTGGGATCTTTACTAATAGTTGAGTACATATCCACCATGCCACTACAGAAAATTTCCCTTTTTATTTTATGTCCAAGGACTGGAGAATATTTCATTTATGCCTTGATCATGGTTTAGGATTGTTTAAACTGGGAGTGGGATTTGGAGGTCTTTTCCATCCCTGTATTTCTATTTATTAGATTTTTTATTACTTTTTGTGCCTGCATAATGGGGCTTCTTAAATTCGTTTCTTGATTCTGAAGCTAGATTTTACTTTCAATAATTATTTTAAATTGATACTACGCACGGTTGTGGCCAGTTAATTTTCTTTCTCCTCTTTTAATTTCTCTTTTATGATAAGTGAGAGTAGTCAGGATTCAGCTGGGGGTAAAGTAGGGGAGTTTACCGTTAGTTGCTAACGGCTACAAATAGGTGGCTTAGAGCTATGGATGGTAATCAGGTTTTTGAAAAAATAGACTTGAGTCTCTCTGTTTCCTCCATTCACTCTCTTTCCCTTCCCTCTTTTCCCTTTCCCCTTATTATTATGAAACAGATTGAATGGTAAGTTTATATGCCATTTTAAGATTTGCTAATGTTTAATTGCTGTCTTCTTTTCAGATATTTGGAACACCAAAGGACCATTATAAAATCAAGCCTTTCCATGATCATGTTTTTGTTTTCTCCATAGTCGATGATCATATATGGTTCAGGAATTACCAGGTTTGTGCTTGTCTTATGTTTATAGCAATCTCAACTGCACCCTTTAAAAAGTTATATTGATGTGGAGGCTTAACATTCAGGCCCACTGTTCTGGACTTTTGTTCCTCCTAATTGAATAACATGTTGATGTTCTTGTTATATTTGTGTTGATCACTTCGTTTACCATTAGCTTTGAGACAGCAGTTTGTCAGTTGAGATTCAAGGTGGAAATTTTTTCGTCCTATTTTGGATTACGGAGGGACCATTTGAGTGTCAACTATTCAGTTGTGAAGGATTTGCTCTTGGTTCTCCAGGAAATGGACTTCAGTTCATGATAATGCTGGACACTTACCGCTTATGATAGAGTGTTTATAGATGACACATTACCAAATTGTAATGGTTCTTTTCCTTCATTACAAAGGAACTGCTTGTTTAGTTAGTGAATGGAAAGAAATGTGGAATTGATAAAAATGATTTTGTTGATGGAAAATGACTTTATTGCTCCTCCTATCAAAGAAGTCATAAAACTATGAAAGGAGATAGAAAATATGAGTTATGATCACCAAGCTACAAGACATCGCAAATGATTGAGGGAATGATCCCTTGCTCTTTGGGCTGTTGGTGTAACATACCTTTGTGTTGTTTTTTGTCCTGCTGCATCGTGTTGGCTTCTGCATAGTTAATAATGTCATGTACAATACCATTTCTCTTTGCTTTCCAGATCTCTGTTCCTCACAATGAAACGGACAAAATTCCTCGAGGAGGCCTTGAGAAAATGACATTGATTGAGGTCTGAAATTTGGTTTCAAGAGTTAGGTTTTGATCGTTCAAGTTATAAGAGTTGTCTAACCGATGCCAGTTGCTTGTATAGGTTGGTCCAAGGTTTTGCTTGAACCCAATTAAAATATTCGGGGGCAGTTTTGGAGGCCCAACTCTTTATGAAAACCCATTTTATGTATCACCAAATCAGGTATTCACTGATGCATGCTGTATTTACTGAGAATCTGTTGTCACTGATTCTGTGTTATGACCTTTTGAAGCCTGTTCTTGTAGATTCGAGCCTTGGAGAAAAGGAAGAAGTCTGGAAAGTATGCAAAGAAGGTCAAGGCAAAGACAAGGAGGAAAATGCATGAGATGTCTAATCCTCTGGAGCCTGATGAGTTTGCGGACATGTGGAAAGATTAATTTTCCGTACTTTCATTATATTCATAACAAGGAACAGAAAATATATGGATCTTATATTCAGCATGAAATGGTAGTTTTGTCTGGCTGCCGATTCTTTTAGAGAAGCTTTTGATGTTGTTAATTGCCTTGCATGTTAGGTGTGATTGAGATCAGTTGTAGTTTTATTCATTCACCACATTATGATCACAAAAAGGAAAAAAAGGGTCTTCAATGTTATATTTTCGTTTCACTCTTCTGGTGGTTGCGTTGCGCACGTTCCTTTGCTGCTGCATGTTATAATTTATGTATTTGAAAAAGTAGCACGTACAGAGAAGGCTGTGGCTCAGTCTTAAGTCGATGTAACTGGTATGTTAATCTGGGATTATCTTTAGATGCCTTTGAAGATGACCATCAATTTGGATTGATGTTGCTGGAGAAGCGGGTCTAATGAACTGCCTCCCTGCTTTCAAAATCTCATTTCGCGGAAAGGGATGCTTTTTGAATAAAATCTGACCTTCTGTAAATCCATGTTGTTTTTGATTAATCTTAATGGGTATAGACTGAATCATGTAACCCTTTTGTTGAGTCAGATGCACTCCGTTTGTACGGTTCCAAGTTAGCCGTTGCTGTCCCCATAACATCGCCCGAAGTGACAGGAAGTTCATTAAAGGAGACAAAATGGGACGTGATTTCATGGGCCAGAAGAAAATTTGTGCTTATGTTTTGGCAGGATTTTCATTCAATGCGGCGATTGGGCTGAATGTGTATTTTTGACATTTCACCATATTTGTGCCCGTGAGTCGTCTTCAAGGGATGTGGCCGACTCCCCCTCTCCCCTCCCTTTAAAACAACCCCAACCATTCACTACCTTCAACTGTAATTACATTTTTGGTGTGTCATTTTTATTTTTGGGGTTACATTCAACTATCCGTAGAGTAGGAAGCAAAATCCGTAGATCAAATTATCAAAACTGTCGAGCTGATGCCTTAAGATGGTCTATGTATTTCTACTCTATCGAATGCGAGTCCGTTTCATATACAGATCCTATGCCATAAAAATGGCATGGGATTCAATCCCTTTTCAGCCTAGTCGTTTATCTTTTTGGGTGTTAGCCTTCGATTGTTCAAAAAAAAAAGAAAGTCCTCTGTGGTTGACGGAGCTGCACAGAATTGATAAAGAATCATCCCTTGAGGGACATCCAACAAGCCCATCCCAAGTAGTAAGCTTTGAAGCTACTGATCTATGCTTTGGTGCTTTAAACAACAGCACACAACTAATCACAAAAGCAACAACTTACAACAACAACATCAGTAGTGGATAATCAAAATAAAGAAGACAAACAGGGTTGACCAAATAATGGTGGGGAAACATGAAAACACCAGAGGAGGCCAACCTAAAGTTGGAGAGATTCTTGAAGTTCCTTTGCCCCATCCACCATGACACTTGTCAGATTCCAGATGCGGGAAAAACGGTATCTTCCATTATGTTTTTTGGATTTGTTTTATACAATAATGTTTTCCTAAAGGAATCTGACAATATTTTAAATGCAGAATATTTGCAGCCCATTTCCAAACTGCAAGATTTGTGTCCCTTAAGTCGCACATAAGGCAATCTTGAGTTCTAAGCTAACAACCCCTTTTAAATCCTGCATCCATCACATTCTAGAAAGGTAGTCTTTAGTTACCTCCTAAAGCCACTCTCATAAAAATAAACATTTGGTTTGCCCCACTTAAGTGCACGTTAAACTGGAATAAACTCTTAATCACGCCTGTCATTATTATATATACCTGTTGGAATCTCTTTTCCTTATTGCAATAGCTTACATTTGGTTCTGGACTCCAAAAGAAATTAGAAGAGGCACAATACAACACACACACACATACGTAATTCTGTGTTTACAATATAAATTTGTTTTTGTACCATTCATGTTGTTATGCAATTTTCCCCGCAGTTTCATCGATTGATTTTATGTCTTACAAAAGAATTACAAACTTTTTTCCCTGTTAAAGTTCAAAAAGTATAGGTAAGTTGAGTTGTACTAGCTCATTAAGTGAAAAGTATGCCTAACAAAACAAATAGCACCTGTGAATATATTTAGAACTATCAATTACCAACAAAATATTGACATTCACAATATAATTCATTTTTATAACTTGTATTATACATAACAATTTTTTTTTTATCTGTAAACCGTGATAACTGACTTTTAAAAACTGGCAAAGACTTGAAAAGAAAGGCAACATATTTTGCGTACACTATTTATAAGATCTATCAAGTGAGATTAAAATGTGTTCATAAGTCATGTATTTCATGTCTCAAGGAATCACCCAGCAGCACAAGGGTATTGTTTCGGCTTTTGCTGCCCAGTTATATATTTTTTCTGTTCTAAATATAACACCCTTATACATACTAGTATAAGGATTTTATATTTATGACCGAAGGAGTGTTTCCTTGCCGTGGCCTATGGGCTATTTTTCCCCCTTAAAAAAAAAATGAAAGTTTGAGGACTTCAAATATTTTTTTATACTTGTTATTAAATAGAATTTGTAACGCAATAATACCTCATGTTCTTAATATAAGAACTTGTTTAACTTTTATTTTGATTCTAAATATAAGACTCTAATTCATTTTATTTCTTATATTTATTTATTTATTTTCAAGGTAGTCATTATAATAATGGTAGTTATAGCTAATACATTTAATTATCAAGAACATTTTTAGAAAGACAACATTTATTTATTATAAATAACTAATTTTATTAATTTTTTTAATCTACTCAAATTAATCAAACTAGTAACTCTTATAATTGAAGACTGAGAGGTAGTATGTGTTGATTTAAAAGCAGAGAATATCAATTCTGGACGAGATCTGTTGCTTTCCATGAGATCTGATTATGCCCTAATCAAGTTGATGTAAGGAGGGCCCTTAATACATAAATTATAAACAATATCTTCAGCAGAGAGCCGGTTTAATTAACTGCACGTGTTTTCATAATTTTTATATATTGTAGATAATGTGACTTATATAAATTTTATCTTTTCATTAATTTAGTTAAACATGTTATACTTGATCTATGATCAAATAATAGACATGTCAAAGTGGCTCCGCCGAAAGAAAATAAAATGGGACTTTTGGATTTTTTTTAAATGATATATAATATATTTACTTAGAGTTATATAAATGCCACCTAAAATCAATAATGTTACGGAGGAAATGAGAAAATATTAATCTTCAGTCTGATCTGTGTATTTACATATAATTCCATGCAATATAATAATATCAATTAAAGAGTAAAAGTATAACTCATTTTTAAAATTTTATGTAATGGCCGAAAATCATGCTGATTTTTATAGGTTTGTGAAGGTTGCTTCTCAATGGAGTAGTATATATTTTTATAAATTTAATTCTTGATATAAATATAAAGAATATAGTCATGTTAATTGATTAAATTTTTAAAATATGGGGGGATTCGAAATCAGAGTACTTGACTTGTAAGGACCAGAGACCCATTTTAGTGGGGTCCTCCTACTGGATAAACATCAGCGATGGTTGGGGCCCACAATTTCCCATTTATTCCTGCCTTTTCCATTCGTTTCTTTCTTATTGCTTGCATGAATCAACCATCGAGCATCCTGCCACGGCTCGCAATGTGAGTTATTTATACACATTTTTCTACTCTATATTTAGCTAAGACATATTTTGGTGCGTTTTAGAAGTAGTTGATGACTTTTCTTTCTCTTTTTTTTGTTTTTCAAATTGCCTTTAATAAATACATTTAATTACCTTATTAATATAAACAAGTCAACATACATGGAAAGAGTATGTAGTATGTATTTAATGATATAAATTGTTTTTTGATAGTAGAAAACTCGTCAAAAACCCCCCAACTAATGAATAATAATAATTTACCTTCGTATACACTCCGTAGTTTAGTTTGAGACCCTCTTGCTTGAGATGAAAGAAGAATTAAGACGGAGGCCAGGCATGGATGAAGAAACTTGCATGAGACAAAGAAGGATCGCCGGGGCATAGTGGATAGGGTTCAAGTTTCCAAAAGCACAAGAAAGAATCAACATTTAATGAAGCCTTTCAGACTTATTGGGCATTTCATTGAATGACTTGTGATCTCATCATCCGTCCTCGTCAAGATCCTATCACTGTAGCTAGCTCCCTGTGTTCCAAGTTCATATGTACATACCAGCTTTGGAGCCCGCACTCTCCCTTGATCTTCTGCAACAATATAATGTAATAGCGTCCCCAGATAGAAATGAAACCCGCTGGTGCACTCCCAGAGGCAACAAGGAACATAACATACGGAGGCGGTGGCTTGCCGAGCCTGAAATCTCCCATTCCCTACTTCTTCGGTGGCTTAGCCATCATTCTTACTCTCATCTCCGTTGCCTTGCTCATCCTGCTGGCCTGTTCTCCCCGTGAACATTCGTCTTCTTCTTCTTCTTCTGCTCAAGATCAGACGGTGGATGTGGGTGGCGAGGTGGATTCAGAGCCAAAAATTGTGGTGGTCATGGCTGGAGACACTAACCCCACTTTCTTGGCCAAGCCGCTATCTATGCTTGGCTAATACCCATCATGCCCGGCAATCCGTGTAAATCGTCTTATTATTTTATTCACCTATATATGTGTATATGTATATATGACAATGCCTTCTGCTCCTCCTTCCCTTTTTGTCTTTGTGCGGCTTTAATGCTTTAAGTTGATTTGAGATCAATCGCAGAAGATGTAAATGGAAGCGAGTATGGCATATATGCACAGAGTGTTCAGATGCGTTCTGTGTGCGCATAAAATTAGTGGTGCTCACCTACCTTCTGCAGTTTTCGAGGTCCATCGATGAAGAATTGTGAGCACAAGAGGTGTATTGCTTGGATCCAGTATTATCTCGATTTGAGGTTTCATTATCTCCAACTACATATATATATATGTGCATGATTGGATCTGAAAGTGGGACGAATTAAGCAATTTATGGCTGCATTAACAAACATATCTCAAATTTGCAATTACCTCCCAAAATTCATCCAAAATAATGTATACATAGGTTGATAAACCAGAGAAAAAATTTTGCTTTTTTTTTGGGGGGGGGGGGGTACATGTGTGAAGGGAGATGGAAGCGGCATCTTTCCCATAGAGCAAAATTGTTGGTTTCTGAGAGGAAGAGAGAAATTAAAAATGGAGAAGCGCGTGTGGATTTGGTAGGAAGGGCAAATATTGATTATTCAGGGGGCAAGGAGATAGAGAGATATGGACGAGTGATTTAAACCAAATCTGTGATGGATGGAGTTTAAAATACAATGATCCATTCCGGAGCAGCAAAGGACGTGGCGACTCGATGCGAAGAAGGTTGAGCGTTTTCGGAAGTAAAAGAAAGACAGTAACCCCACCCAGTAAAAGCTCCATGAAACTTTCCTTCTGCCATATATGGCAAGTTGGCTACTGCTGGCTCCTATCTCTCTTTCTTTTTATTCTCCCTTTTCTTTCTTGTCTTTATTGTACACGATCTCTTTCCAAATCCACCCATGAGCCCTACTTTATTCGTAACCTTTTGCTCGCTGTTAACAGCATTTAATTAAAAATAAAAAAGAATATACTACTCCCTACAGCATAGTGCTTATATTTATAAGCATATCATAATAACTTTACATATATTAATCAAATTAATTAAAATTAGTTTTTTTCTTGAAAAATATCAAAATTAATACATATATAAATAATTAGTTTGATTAATTAGTTAAAAATTTATAATTAATTAAAAATACTAGGTGATAAAAATTAATGCTATTGATAAAATACCTTACATTATGAAGCACACAGGAGGCCAGGCCGGATAAAGTAATTGTAAGCCCAAGATTGTACATTTTCAAGATTAGGCCCATCCCCACCACGTGAAAATATATCGGGCTTCGCTTCCCAACAAAAAATGTTGGGCTTCAACCCAAGTCCTCCACGGCCCACGATTGTACTCGAGCCCACCTCAGTACCCGTGTGTTCTAGAAAAAAAAATTTACATTTGCGTTCTCAATTTAAAAAAAATATATATATAATAAGAATTATAAAAATATAACAAATATTGCGCAATGAGGATATAAATAGATTATAATAATAGCAGTACCGCCTTTATTCATACGTTAGTAAGTTATCCTTTGGATATAGATTTAACTGAAATAGTACTGTACATATGCCACACTTACACAGTAAACAAGTCTTAAAAGGCCGCCATTTTGACAATTCCACTTCCTCATCAAATGATTCAATTCGGTCCATTAACACAGAATCTCATTACGAAATTCGAACATTCCAGATATAATTAACAGGGGTTGCCGATCTACTCAGATTTGCATCAAGATTTGTATTATTATTCTGCAATAGTAATATAAATTCAGAACTTTAACAGACCATTCCAATCTTTATGAATGACAACCTGGGGTGCTTCAATTGAAGGAAGGCGTCAGCCATATCCATCACTTCAAAGATTGATGGCTACAATCAATCCAGGCTCAGTGAAGTTGACATATCTGAACACATTTATATTTGGCACCACAATTTTTTTTTTGAAGTGTACAATTCTTAATAAATGATTTAAATTTAGGATATATTATTCTTCAACACGTGACTATAATATGTTATTTTCAATAGTATTTGTTATCCTTCTCCATGGCCAAAAGAAGAAATCTGAAGTTGGGAGGGCAAACAACTAAACAAGTATGGCTCATATCTGCTGTATGCTTAGTTGTCACCATACCTTGCACTGTAGACTTTGGGTCCTAGCTGGTTTGACCCTTTTGACTTTGAGATTTGGGTTTGACGCCATGTTTGCACAGAGAACCCCCGCTAAATTTTTTACTGATGACAAGTTTCTTATGCCTCTTTTACCGCTCTTGTATTACACCAGAAGGAACTGATCTTTTTGTGGAAAGTAACTGATATCCTTTTGAGTTCTCTGAAATACCAATAAAGTTGAACCAACATTTGGAGGCCTGATGTGGCGTGGTTTTCTTTTTCTTTTGTCTTTTTTTTTTTTAAAAAAACCAGAAACTGGATAATCTTGAGAAGGCAACTAACAAACAAATCAGAGGAAAACATCTACGGAGGCACTTTCCACTTCCTCATGAAGCATCAGAGCAAGCACAAAAAGGAATCTACCTCACAACCAAAAGGGTACTTTTGTAAAACAAAATCTCCCAAAACTTGCTATAAATGCCAGAGAGTCTTCTCATTTCAGTGCAACTGAACAAAAACAAGACAAGAAGAAGAGAGAGGAAAGAAAGAGAGATGAGGGCAATAAACAGTGGATCATCATCTGGTGTGGCTAGGCTATGGAAGTCTCCGATTCCTTACCTCTTTGGAGGATTAGCTATAATGATGGCTCTCATATCTGTTGCTCTCGTCGTCCTCATTTGCTCCTACTCAAAGCGTGCTTATTCTCAATCTCACTCACCATCTTCTGCAGGTGAAGACACTGTCACTAAGCAGGCTATGCCCAAGAACACAGAGACCGATCAGTCCGAGCCCAAGGTGCTTGTGATCATGCCAGGGGATCACAACCCCACCTACCTCGCTAAACCAACCTCTTCCTCAACTTTTTCCACCTGTGAAGCTGGATCAACCCAGTGACCAAATTTCCAACTAGCTGATTAATAACTGACATGCTAGAAACAGCGCAATTTTGGTTTTGGGAAGGTCGTATTCCTGTGATTTTGAGTGCACGGAATATGCGAATCGATGAGTGATTCTGCAATTTTGTTTCTTCATGGAGGATCGTTACAATACATGTATTTCTAAGCCGTGACCATAAATGCTGCGATTTTCATGTTGAGGTTATAACACCCTGAATAAACTTGTTCTCATTGTCGTGCATAAGCCAGCCAAATCGAAATTCCAGCATATATATATATACACATATATCCTTAGCATGGTGAGAGTCGAAATTCAGATTATTCGAGTATAACCATATCCTAATAAGCAGCTGCAAACAAGAGCACGGAAGCAAATCCAGGGAAATAACTCTTGCGTTTGTTTTCATATTATATATCACTGTCATCTTTCGGTTATGCTTAAGAATTGAATTCTCTTGAACATCGTCCATGAGTTTAGAAGAAGGGCATATAATGCGGGGGCACATTAAGATAACATTTTTTTGCGCATGCCAAGCTCTCGGTCTGCCGTTCTTTTTTTTTAATTTTTTTTCCGCTTGTTTTGTTTCGATTTAGTATATGATTCCACTTGTTTCCTGGGGAAGATCTGATTGAAGCATATATTATGCCTCCAATGATGCGTTAAATCGGAGGATGAAATGAAGCCCTCCAAATAAGTCAAAAACAAGAATGTATTTGGACGCAAAAGCCGAGAAACATGAAGTGGGACATCCCCGACGAACAAATAAGAAAACTGCTCAGTGCTCTTAATCCAAATATAATAAAATCAAGAGAGAAAGAGAGAGAATAATCTTTGGAGAGAAGGAAAATAAAAATCATCGGCTGGCATTGAAATAGAGGAAAGTGCATCAAACTCAATTAGAAAGTGGGATGCGATAACAGAGCATCAAAGCATGTGAAACAGTGAAAGTGGAACCCATAAAAAAAAGGGCTCAGCGGCAAAACGCACCTGTTAAACTAAAGTATCGTTTCTTCTTGTTTTTTTCTTTATGGGGTAAAAAGCGGTGTTGCTTTGTTTGGGTTTTATTGGCTTGTGAAACGCGGCGCCCCGAAACGCAAATGTGTGGATGATGACGGTGGTGCACGTGAAAGTAGGAAACTTGTGAGAAGGGTTAAACAAAGAAACAATAAAAAACTTAAAAAACAATCAAAAAGAGAGGAGAAAATGGGAGACAAAGTGACGAATGACGAGTGGTGAGGGGCTGCTTTTTAAAGAGAGGGTGCGGTACGAAAATTCTTGGCTTTAAGAGGTTGTTGAAGGAAGGATATAAGAAAGGATATTCCAGGTGCTGATGAGCTCTCAGAGGGCTTGCATTTGTATGGCTTACATAAATCTGAAAATCATGAGGAACTCATATAAATGGTGCTCAGGTATCAGAACTTCCAAGGTTGGCACTTGTCATGCGTGCCTACCCTTCGTCTAAGTATTACGCATTTCAAAAGCTGACAATTCATAGTATAATAATTACAAAACTTAGATTTTTTTTTCTCCATCAACGACTGTATTATTTGTTCAGATAATTGAGAAATACGAGGGAAGTCCCATTGGACTTAATTCCTTGGTCCCCTGGCTCCCTCGGAAATTTTCGGCTTCATCTCATTGTCTTGGGCTTCTTAAACTCATCAGGCCCAGTCTTATATATATTGGTTGGGCAAATATTTATGTTGGAGCTCGATGCAGCTATATGAGAAAAAAGAGTTTTTTACTACAAAAAAAAAAGGATTTTTTTTTCCCGAACGTGCAAGTAAATTTGATACTGATTTACCTCAATTTTAGATTATTAAATTTATGAATTTTTTTTAAGTTATACACCTCTGTTTAAAATCAGCAGGAATTGGCCCAATCACCAAGAAGCAAAATTTTACCATCGAGCATTAGACTTTGTTGGTTGCATTTTTCATGTAATATAAGATGTAGTTTAGGCCAAACCTGAACAATGTTTAAATCCACCGTCCGAAACTCCATGACAAGGGCAAATAGCTTAAATCAGCAGTTTGAACTTCGAAGGCAAGTCAGTGCCATAGCACCTTCACATTCAATTGATGCTGATGGACACAGAGCGGTATTATGGGCAGAATATACTCATAAAGTATGCAGGATCGACACGTTATACCAAAAAAAATATACATCAATATATTCTCAAGAGCCATGAATAGTGCCCCTTTGAGCTACAGGTGCATGAATCATGGTGCAATAATTTAGATTACATTCCAATTTATTTATGTTTCCGCATGTGACTGCTGATTTTCCTCTCCACCTGTATATTCATTAGTCTCTGCTTTTAGTTCTCATCTCAATAGTGTACTGATCTCACTGACGGATATTGCTGCTCTCTTTCTAGAAGACACAACAAACAAAGTGAAAAGGCACTGCTTTTTCTTACTTGAGGATATTGGATTTGCATTAACACACCCTTTCCAGTTGTGCAGCTTGTACTATTGGAGTATTGGGACATCTGTATTTTGCACTAAATGTCAGATTCCCAATGGAGATGACAATGACAGTAGTTAACAAAATAATAATAATTATCACCAAAAATATATGCAACAACCACCCCATTAATTCTTCATCTTAATTTAAGAGCTTTAAAATTCGTCATGGAACCTTCCAGGAACCTGAATTGGACAGCATTCGCCATGTCATTATCTTTTGGCTTTTCACCAAATACAATGTAGCAACGTTAGACGAGGTGATGGCGACCTATTAATACAAGTTCCGACCAAATTTTCATCCGCCACTCCACCAGCTGTTGTTTGCAATTCTTTATTCCGCTCTATTCACCTTTAGCTCCATAGCCATTAAACCCAAACCCTTGATCCTTCGAGCTCAAAAATGGCGTCTTTTGAACAAATCTTGGGTGTAGAAGGATGTAGCAGCAGCGAATCTGGTTGGACTATGTACATTTCTTCATCCACGCAAGGCGATGGTGCTGGAAACATCGAAGAGAATGATGAATATGATGGAGGAATCAATGGTGGAATGGGAAGACACAAGCGTGAAACCAAAGTTGATATGGAAGAAAGTGATGACTCAACGGTTTCAGACGCTTCATCTGCTCCACTTCATTATCACTGCACAAGAGTCTACAGAAAAGATAGAAAAGACGGTGGAAGAAAATATTCTTCCCGGAAGGATGCGAACAAACCGGAGAAGAAACGCGTCGACACCAGAAGAAACAAATAATGAAGCTGCTCATTGTATATCATAACTATTTTCTAGGGAAATCTGGCAAAATTACTCCCGTATGTTGCACGGATTGATAGTGGGCCATGACTGAAAATGAGGGATGAGCTGACCTGTTTAGCAACAAAACTAAAAGAAGCTAAAGCTAACATGAATGGAATTATGGAAAGAATAAATACGTGACAGTGAAAATGAGGACCTGAACGAAGAGCTTCCACGACAAATAGCAGAATCACAATGGGCGTGTTTGCTTTGATGCAGTGCTTGTAACCCTTCCCAGCCAAGAGTGCACACTCACCATGCAGGAAGCAGGTGATTCTTTCAAAACTACATTTGTACCAGATTTTAGAAGGACTTGTCCCTCCTTTTTCCCCCTCTAAAATTTCCGGTTGTGATTTATGTATGCCTTTTTTTTTTGTCGCTGCGCCAATAGCTAAGCAGCACTAACGTTGAAGTTTGAGTAGAAGAGCGAGGAAGTGGGGGAAAAAAAGAGGTTTTGGTAGACATGGTCAATTTTGGGTTTGACTTAGTTAAGATAACTAGAAGCAACAATGTCATCATGCGTTCGTGTTTTAGGACAAAGAAAAGAATGGGTCCTGGGGAAGAAAAAAACACTTCGGTAGAGATCTTCCAATCATTCAGGTGATGAAGCATCATCTATCAGAGTAGTTTGAAAAATAAATTTTAAATGAAAATTAATAATTAGAAGCCCCATTTCCGGGATTTGGAACGGGAAGTTTAACGATAATCAGTAATTGATTTTAATAACTTCATCAGGGCTACCATAATGCGAGATTTCCGTTGCGAATCAGAAATGAAATCTCATGGCATATATGGTTCTTGAAGGAACATTGCGTGGTGGTGGATTTTGTGTTACTGTTCACCTTCTCCTGAAAATTCTATCACTTTCAGATGCACTTTTTATATTGATTCTTAACCTCCCTAATGCAGTATTCCATGAAAATAGAATTTTGTCAAGTTTTAAAGCAATTTGAAATATTTTTATTGAAATAGAAGACTCTAAAGAGAATTGTAAAATAGCACAATCTTCTCAACAAAAACAGAGGAAGGATGATGGAAAAGAAGGGGGACTGCTTAGATCTGCAGAAGCTGCTACCATATAACCGATTCGATCATTAGAAGAGGTGGATATAAAGACCAGATATGAAAGGAAAAGCACCAAATGATATTAAAAGCTTCAAGACGTACAGCGACTTATTAAACATAGTTGGCTGGGCTGCGGAAATCTTCGCAGATGGAGAAAAAGCAACATATTGAGACAATCTCAGCAGGACCAGCGTGGACACGTTAAACTAGTTGATAAACGAAAAACCAAACACTTCAAATAAAAAATAAAGTTTCGTCATATGGCAGGTGCGTAATCCCCACTCAGCAAACAGTCTTGAGGAGAAAACATTGCATTTATTGGGAATTCTGACGGGCTCCAATACCAGTTATCTCAAATTTTCGACTGTTTGGCAAGCTTGAACCATTCAGTATGGAAAGACCCCTCCGTATCGATCCTTTCATATGTATGAGCGCCAAAGTAGTCTCGCTGAGCTTGCACCAAATTGGCCGGCAATCTTTCCCTTCTGTATGTATCAAAATAAGCAAGACTGGCGGACATACCTGGCGTGCTGATGCCAGAGTTGATAGCAAGGCATACAACTCTTCTCCAGGCAGATTGCCTATCAATTATTTCCTTTGCAAACTCAGGATCCACAAGAAGGTTAGCAAGGTTGGGGTTCCTGTCATATGCCTTCTTGATTCTGTCTAAGAATATTGCTCTTATGATGCAACCACCTTTCCAAATTCTTGCTAGTTCTCCCAACTTCAAATCCCATCCCTTTTCAATACTCTTTGCACGAATTAGATTCATTCCCTGTGCATAACTACAGATTTTTGCTGCATAAAGAGCTTTCCTAACATCATCGATCAACCTCTCCTTGTCTACAGGTTGATCAGCCAAGATATCACCAAAGCCACCTGATTTGAAGACCTTTGCAGCTTCAACCCTTTCCTCCTTCAACCCACTAAGGAACCTAGCATCCAAAGAGGCTTCAATAGTGGGAGCAGCAACTGATAATTCAGCAGCTTGCTGAACAGTCCACTTACCAGTACCCTTCATGCCAGTTTTGTCAAGAACTTTGTCAACCAGATATCCATCTCCTTTATCATCCTTAATTCCAAATATGTCTGCAGTAATTTCAATAAGAAAACTCAGAAGTTCTCCCTTGTTCCATTCAGAGAAGACATTATGTAGTTCCTCATTTGACAATTTTCCAACTGACCTCAGCACATCATAAGCCTCAGCAATCAGCTGCATGTCACCATATTCAATTCCATTATGGATCATTTTCACAAAATTGCCAGATCCACCTTTACCAACGTATGTAACACAAGGACCACTGTCAGGAACTTGAGCTGCCACCTTCAGGAGAATGTCTTCTATGTATCTGAAAGCCTCAAAAGAACCGCCAGGCATCAAAGAGGGACCGTGTCGAGCACCCTCCTCACCACCTGAAACTCCCATTCCCAGGTAAAGCAAACCCAATTCAGCCATTGCTTTCCCTCTCCTCTCGGTGTTCTCATACCATTCATTACCCCCATCAACTATACAATCACCTTTCTCCATGTACATGGATAGGGTCTTAATGGTCTGGTCAACGGGTGCCCCAGCCTTCACAAGCATGATCACAACCCTAGGTTTTTGAATGGACTTGACAAAGGATTCGGGGTCATGGAAGCCATATACAGGGAGATTTCCTTCCTGTTTAGCTCGTTCCACAGTCTCATCAACCTTGGATGTGGTTCGGTTATAAACAGAAATAGGGAAGCCTTTCTCAGCAATATTGAGAGCCAGATTTTGGCCCATCACAGCCAGCCCAGCAAGTCCTATTCTTGTGGGAGGAGTGGCCATAATTTATATCCTGCCCAATATTTGGTAATGCACATGAGATAATGAAAATATACAACAAATGTTAAAAACTTGGCAAAAACCATATAGTATCATCCAAAGGAAAATGAAATGTGCAAACCAACAGAACAGAAGACGATAAATACTTAATTAAGGGCATCTACCCAATAATTTTCCTCCACGATATGATATTTTCAACAAAGGAGAAGAGAGCTGTAAAAACGCTAGAGCACCTTGATCTTATAGCATAGGTTCTCCGAGTTGCGTCAACAAAGGAAACATAAGTTACAAAAAAGCCACCCAACAAGGCAACAAGCTTATACTTTTCTATAAGTTCACCAATATAAAACAAGGACCATGTCTTCTAGACCTCAAAAATGTAAAATGTGCAGTAGATGTGCATAGATATACAGCAAACTGCCCGAGTTTCATAATATCTCACATTATTTCAAACACAGGATGACAGCGGGTAAACCCAGCAAAATAAAACAAGCAGTGTATCCACTGCATGTAAAAGACAAATCACCATGATCAAGGTAAAGAAACATGTCGCACCCGTCAAATAACAAAGATTTTTAATCAATAGAGAAATCAACAAATCCCAGATGAAGCAATTATCTTCTGGAATATTTAGAAAACACAGAGAGAGTAGAATCTAATCAACGAAAGAACGACAGTAGAAGAAGCAAAGTGGAATTTTTCGGCAACAGAAGGATCGGCAATTCAGCACACGAATAATACCACAAAAAGTTAGAATAAGGATTAAAAAGGCAAACCTGAATCCTGAATCTTAAGGATTGAGAAATGAAGATAGTTGAATTACTGGAAATGAGATCTGGGTATGGCAGAAAGCAACAGATTAAAAAGGGTTGACAGCGCACCACGACCGAACTACCCACCTTCCAGTACAGGGAGAGAATCAAGAGTCTAAAGATAAGAAATTAGGACATAATAAACGAGTCAAAGGAGCTCAACTAATCGGTAGGTGGGAACGCTTCGAGGAATCAAGACCGTTGATTTCGCGCAGCAGCCAGGACGGGTAGCCCACGTCGATCATGCTCATGCCGCTTCTTTGAACCTTTATCCCTCCCGCTTCAAAGGTTGGACCGTTGTTGGGGTCGGTTTTCGATAAAAAAAATCAAATTAAACAAAACCTAATCTGGCAAATCTTTGAGGATTTGTTTGAAATGGCACTAAATCTAGTTTGATTCGGTTTACCTTGCTGTGGCTTATGCTAAAATTAGATTTAAATCTATATTTTTCTTATAACAAAAGGTGTAGCAAATAGCAATATAGTTATACGTGAGAGATTCTAATGCTGAGATATTTTTAGTATCAATGTAACAAAACAAACTCTTCCACTACAAAAGCAACCCTTACTCAAGATTATGAATTATGAATGATGTGGAGGCTATTTGATTCTTTTTTTTTTTTTTTCCTGTTCTTTATATTTTATTCGTTTACAATTCAACAACCTTCACAACTCTATACAAGTCCCTGTTTTTTTTTTTTTTTTGCCTTTTTATTTGTTGTAGTTATATTTTAGATAATCGGTAAAATTAATTCTAAAAAATGTGTAGTATGTCATTTTCAATATCCAAAGAATTTGGATTTTATAATTAATGTTATCATAAAAAGATCTGGATTTTATAATTTGGGCACTGGGCACATTAGAAATGAGATGTGAGATTTTGACAGTCTCTAATATAAATTGTGTCTATGATTGCAATGAAGAAAAATTCACTTGATCAAGAAATTTTGCTAACATTTTGAATAATACCTCCGGTTTTAATTATAAGACTCCGTTTGTAATTTATAAATGAAGTTTTATAATTAGAACCGGAGATAATATGTTCTTAACAAATTTCTTTTCGTCGGGCAAATCTTTGAACTTATTTTAAAAGAGAGGATGAATCTATATTCATCTTACTTTAAATTTGTTGCCGATCATTTTCTTTTTCTATTTTATCCCCATCACTCGGGATATTTTAATTTCCGTTTATATATAGATCCACCATTTTCCCCATTTGCATTTTCATCCTAAATATTCTCATTTTTAAGAGGGCCCTCAGTTCCTACACTGTAATTTTACTGTACATGCCACAATGTGTGCCCTTACTCCTGTTTAACTTGTGTATGTGCCCTTGCATCAGCAGATGTGATTTCTTCTTAGCCTTTTACATCAGACCAAAACAGATTTCCTCTTCATCATCAATCCTATTTGGTTGTATAATTCCAGCTATTTGATTAAATTTGTGGGTCTCCAATTACTTCCTAAGGGAAAAACAGAGAACATTTGTTAAAAAGGGCACTCTTTTTAACGATAAACAGATCTAGACTTTTTCTCTCGGTATTAAACACCCAATATGGGGTTTCTTACTCTTACCTCTTGGGTAAAAAGTTGATCTAGTGCTTCTTTTTTTTTTCCCTTTGTTACGGAGAGCATTCAGTATTCTAGGCCTACCTCACTTTAATTTGGAGAATTCATTAGGAGTTTAGACTAATCCCGATCGAACTGAGAAGGCTGATAAGGACGGCAAAGCTCTACTAATAAGTGTTTAACACTCTTGCATTCTCAAACTTCAATGTCTCTAGTTAAATTGGTATAACTCCTTATTAATTGAACCAAGTGCCAGGTGACACTCAGAGGCCTCTTTTTTTTTTTTTTTTTTAAAGCGTGGTCCTGTAGGCAAGAATCAAATCATGAATATTAACGGTTCGCTTGCCAGCTGCACTAAGCTGCTGGGTTTGAATGCCAATGTTTATTGGGCATTGACTTCCTCTCTGGAGGTCATGGTCTCATAGACTTATAGTCAGAGAATGTTATACATTTGAATTTGTCTTTTCCTTTTCAAATAAAGCCGAATTCATTGACATGTCATTCAAAGAAAACCATTGTACAAAAAAAAATACTAGAAGCACTGTAATTTTTTCTCAACAACGCTCATAAAAAATAGCGAAAATACTAAGGAACTGAGACAACAGCTCAAATAAATCCTTCAATCCTTATCAGGTACATCCAAGACGTCAACATAAAAGAAATCAGTATATAGACCAAAAAGAAGCCAAAACTACTTATCCTGTTGAAATGTTAACATTTTATTCTAAACAGATACACCATCAGAGCAGAGTGTAGACGATGCACGCTTCCAAAAGACCTTCCTGTGTGGCATGTAATTTTATCAACTACGGACACAAAGTAAAGATACATTCAGAAGAAAACAAGAATGCCCGTCTTGGAGGGGTATTAAAAGAAAAGGTGAAGAGTTGCGCTTTGTCATCAGCAGATAAAGAAATACTAAAGAGGCTCAAATAAAAAGAATAATACTACGTGTACAATTTCCAATCCAATTTTTCATACTTAAAGCTCGCCATCTGAAGATTAAAATCTACGGAATCATCAGGTGGCATCAACACAGAGCTTTGCTCTGAAGGCTGTTGACATGGCATCCAAAATTCTGAAGGAACACAGTAAATAGTCGTTGATACTTCGAGCATCTGGTTAACTCAACTAGAGGCCAAAATTGCACATCTGCACAAATTCCATATCATTGTCCACGTACTTGGTCCAAAGATTTTTATATTGGTTCAAAGCAATATCAAGCCAAGGTTTCATGTTTCCGCTGTAATGAATGACGGCAGCATTGTTGATCTCATCCATGCTAATACTGGGATTGAATCCTAGCCCAAGCACATGCCAGGATTTGTCCAGTGACTTGGTTGCGGAGTAGAAGGTAATCAGACCGGGTGGAAGCAACCCCAATGTCCACAATGTTCCGTCTTCATTCTGATACAAGAATCCGTGGGAAAAAGAATTCAGCAATTTAAAATACCCAAAAAAAAAAGAATTTAGTAATTTAAACAATTAACTATGACAAGATACACAGGGGGCAGCTAAAGCATTAATCAGGTAACTTCGTTTTAGCAAATTGTAAGGCTTTCGCTTGGTAAAGCCATGTCCCCGTACTAGAAGAAAGGGGAAAACACAAATTGACAATTTGACATTATATTCAGGCGTGAATTTATCAGTACTCATGTCATTAAAAAAAAAAAAAATCAGTACTTGAGAAGTAAAAGACTCACCATTTTCTGCCAGTAATGGTACTGATCTGTGCACTTTTCACTCCTCCAAGCATCAAGATCAAATATATTCATTCCAAAAGCCCAAGCGCAGGCTTTTGGATTGAATCTCTCCTTGATTAAGGGATGAGAAAAATTCAAGTATTGGGCATATCTGTGGAAGGGGCCAAAGCAGGTCTCCACAGCACCATTCACCTTACCATCTAAATCAATCTTCCACAAACCTGTCAAGTCTTTCTGAACCACAACATCATCATCCAATAATAAGATTTTATGCAATTTAGGGTACATCTCTGGCAAATAGAATCGTAGGTGACTCAACAGGGACATGTGTTTAGATCTCAACAGAGCATCTTCTGTTATGTTCTCAGCCCGATTCTCAAACTCCTGCAGTTTTGCTGACTCATATTGCCTCAACACTGGGACATATGATGAATTTAAGAATGTGTATTCTTCTACAGCCTTTACTTCCAAATGTGCACCTCCTTCAACTGGCCTCATCTTGAACCAAACCTTCATCGCAGCAACATTCATTCTGTCTGTAACCACATGAAAAACATGCTTCCATGGTTCTGCTGCATTCTTTACCACAGATCTCACCACCACTGAGACAGCTATCACATTATTTGAAAATATTGCATAATGGTACAAACTGGGGTCTTCAAACTCTGGCTCAGGTTCCTCCTCCCTATATTTCTCTGGATTTAAGATCCTCTCTCCCATTAGCCTCATTGCCAAACAATGCAAGCTCTTAGGAACTGATCTGGCGGCAATTAAGCTTGCTATAGCCCCATTCTTCTTTGCCTTTGTAAGAGACTCATTAACGGCAAATATGGTATCCTTCAACTTCTGAATCTTTAATTGATTATCGTAATTCTCTTTTGCCTCTCCCATTATTAATCTCGCAATTTTTACCCTATCCTTCACCTCTTTCTCAAACTGCTTCAGAACGTCCTCATCGACCGGCCCATCTGACTCAAACAGAGATGCTCGATACGTTGGCCTTAGCGAAATATCCGAAAAATTTTGTGCCAATTCATCAAACATCCTCAACTGCCTAGAAATTTCAAGCTTGAGCTTCCTCGCATATGCGGCATACGCATTCACAAGTGTTATGTGATCGTTAGCTTGCCTGTATATCAAATCCAATCGTGTCCTAAGTGGGTCAGATTGTAAGGCCAAAAAGGTACGATGGACGTAGGCATTACCAGTTGTAGGAAGCGCCTGAAGGAAAGATACAAACCGTTACACGAGATTCGCTTAAATAGTCCACTTACAATGTCGGTTGTGCTAAACAGTAAAATTATAATAACAAGTCGTTCCAAACTGAGCAACTACAAACTAGATTTCAATTATAATAGAGAGAATACAAATCAATGATGAAATGCAGAACAGAGGAACTTACAGAGTCATCCTGCGTCGTGGAAGGATTGGTACTCAGAAGCACGGTAAGCGTTGCAAAAAAGAGGAGGGTGAAGATAGCAGAGACGAAGATCCGGTAGGAGAAGAAGCTACGGAGGCTGAATCCACCCAGGCCTGATCCTCGGCCTCCTCTGACGGCAACCGCCATTGGATCAAAGATATATCTGGGTGTGAATCAGAACTCAAATGGGGCGTCGATCTTGAGCTGAAAGAGGCGATAGGAGCAAATTGTAGCAGCGGGTTCTTCTTCGCCGACTGAGGAGAAGGCGAAGGCCGAGTGAGAGGAGAGGGGGTATCAGATCCAATACAAAAGCAGAGAGGGCTGAATCTTGAACGCGCAACCAGAGAAATCCGCGTCGGAATAGTTATATAAAAGAAAGTGGACTTGGGGTGGCAATCGGAGACTAAATTATAGAGAAATGGTAAGTGTTTGATCTGAAAAAGGTTGGGGTAATGGGGTTGGCGTCGATGGAGCAAGGAAAGCGAAAACAGATGCGGATTTGACTCAGATTATTATTATCATTATTATTATTTGCACTGTACTTGCAGGAGTGTCTCCAGAAATGAAATGAAAATGTGAACCATTTCGGTTAATCTGGGTTGCTTAATTACTAGGACTGGCCATTCAATCCCGCCTCAATCCAAGCAAATCCAATCTTCAGCCCTTCTTTTTAATTCATTGGTCCAGGTTTCATATTAAAAAAGATATCTTTTTATACATATATAAACTGTTGTTTCTTTCTTTCTCTTATTTTTTATCCTGTTCATATAATAATAGAACAGACGTGGAGGGTTTTTGGATGTTTCAAAAGCATTTAAAAAAAATATTTTCAGATAAAAATTTTTTGCTTTTGTTTCTAAGTTAATTTTAAATTTCTTATTATGTCAAACACACACACTCAACTAAGAAAATTATTAGTCCTAGTATACATTTAGTCATTCAATATTAACTATTAAGAGATCGTATTAGATATTAGATATTGTGCCCGTATCAGAGTAAAGAGGGCTAGAGCTTTATCACAAAATGGAACACCCAAGTCAACTAGGCTGATAATGTTCACGAGAATTTCACGTTTGGTGCATAGGCACTCAAGTTATGCCAAAAAAATCCAATAAAACTGCCAGATGAGAGATGACAATATAAATATTTGAGATTTATTTAAAATATTTTTATTTTTATTTATTTATTTCAACATTAAGTATATATTGAGAACAGTATGAAATAATAATACACTTTTAAGATTAAAAATAGTTTTAAAAAAAATCTTGAAACTCGTGGAATTTGTCGATCAAACTACTTTGGAGGCAAGGCATATCTGGTATATGAAATTGCTTAAAAGTGATCATAACTTGAAAGAGCTGTAACTCGAGGCCCAGAAGAAAAAAAAGAGTTTTATCACTAATTACTAGTTTGAGTATATCTAAATTTTTTTTCCTGCTCACATATACACGACCATTTAAGTTATACCATGTCCGATCTTTAATATAAGAATTAGTTGACTAATTTGAGTCAATTAAGGAAGCTTGTTGAGTTAGTTATTTGTAAAATCTATGTGTTATCTTTTCTAAAATATCCTTACTAATTATGTATGGGTTAAAACTATCATTTGGTTGAACATTTAATATGTGCAACTATTATAATGACTATTTAAAAAAAAAAAATATGAGAGACAAAATAGATTGAAGTATTATATTTATAATCAAATTAAAAGTCAAACTAATTTTGATATTAAAAATCAAAGGTAATACTTTTAAAATATACTCGACAGATCGGATTTGTCTCCATACTTAGTGCTACAAACAAGTCCCACAAAATATTACCCTTGATTTTGCAAACATCAAAATATAACACATGAAAACATATATAATATTCCTGATGTCCTAAATATAAAACTCTTATATTTAGGACCGGAGGAGTACCTTATTACTTTCAAAGTAAAAGTGCTCATTATCGCTGGACTTTTCTTCAAGTAATGGGAAATTCTCTCATGGAATGTTGGGGATGCTATGGCAGTTGGCACCACACTTGGGCTATTACTGGATCTTTATTTCATTTATTCATCACTCCTGCTCTCCTAATCATGTCAAATAACTAAATAAGCTTATTCCAGAAGCTATAATATTAATCAATACTAGTCAATAAAACAATAACGTAAATATCAATAAATAATTTTAATGTTGTTTGCTCCGATTCATGCCCATCTTTCCCGGGCATATTTTTTATTTAGATGGGGAAAAAAAGAAAGGAGAATTACAATCGGTTACCAAAAAGAAATTTAAACCTTAAAGTCTATTAACAACTGAAGAGCATGTAATGGCAGATTTCAAAATAGAAAATGATAACAAATTTAAGTTTATCACTTATCATTATAATTTTTTGATAACTAACTTTCTGTTTTAGAACTTTATGGTAATTTTCTCAAAAAAGAAAGTTTCGACTACTTAATTAATAAACCCAAGGGTTAAAGTCTTCTTTCCAACCATAAAAAATATTCGGCCAAAAAAAAAAACCATAAAAAATAAAAAGTAGACTCCCATTTTATAATTAATTAAAATATTTTTTATACGATAGTTAATTAAAATATACTTATGCGTAACAAAAAAATATTATACCTTAAACACATTTTAGCTAATTACGTTACTAATTTAATATGTAGTATTAAATTTGATTAACGACGAGATAGTCATTATAATCGGCCAGAGCTTTACATTAATTCTAAAATATGGCATTTTAATATGCCCTGTCCAAATAATCTCAGATAATAATTAAAAAGAACTGGATCTGGCTTTTCTCCGCTGCGGCCTGCGGTTATCGCCCGCTACCCTCTGCTACCTTTATACGGCACCGTTTGAAGCAAATGATAAGGGGGCAAGAATAATAAAATAAAGCGAAGGGAAATTTTACTTCTTTAATTAAGAGGCTTAAAAAGATATCTAACTAAGTTTTTGAGGAAAATGTTTTGGAGTGGGTGGGTCCACAAACTAGAATTAGCAGGCATTTTCTCCTCTCTCACCCAACGCTTTTGTCTTTATCCATTTATCAAAATCCCCTTCGCTTTATTTTATTATTCTTGCTCCCTTATGATTTTGCTCCAAACGGTGCCGTATAAAGGTAGCTGAGGGCAGCGGGCGATAACTGCGGCAGAGAGAAGCCAGACCCGAAAGAACTGTGGTGTGCAAATAGATATGGGTTGACGCTTATGTAAGATGGGCTTACTAGTTCTCGTTACGGGGGCTAGCTAGGATGCGAACTTATTTCTGGAACTCATCATGCTCATACCAACAAGATTTGAATCTAGCAAAAGAGACTAGTTTCTCATGACGTGGTGAATTAAGGTTCGAATCCTGTTAGGAAAGGTGCTCACATTTAGTGGCCGACAGTGCCTCGAATAGGATTATCTCCAATAAAAAGATACCTATGCTTTAAAAAAAAAAAAGCATGCTCATCATCTATCACCTGCTTCTTAGGAAAAACCAGACCATCGCTGTACAAATACACTGGGGTGACCAGGGAAATAATTAAACAAGTGACGCTTGAACGAAAATAATAGTCACATAGTTGCTATTGATTCAGTTTTCATGTATAATATACTGCTGATTATATTCATGATCTCGAAGTTTTGAGAGGTTACCAATTGATCCTTTAAACCCAAGCCAGCGTGTTTGAAGTTGTCATTTGAGATGTTGATTTTCGCATAGAATTATAAATCAATATATCTATATTATTCACAAGTCATGAATACTGCAACTCCATAAATTTCAAAGAACAAATAGATTCTTGAAAAACAGAGAATTATTATTGGTAGTGGAAGATGACGGGGGCGTTATGGTTCTTACGTCACCCTCAGTTTCATTCTTTTTATATATGTTTGGGAAAATTCCATTGAAACTTAAGAGTATCATTATTTCAACAATTCGTTCTACAAGTCGACACGATTTCTACGTCAGTATGAGGTTTTTACTGAAACTGTGTTTTCACGTTTCATAGCAGCAATATCTACTTGGCCTTTCGAACACACACCCAAACATATATATATCTTGCTGTCAAATCTGTATATATATTTAAGACTCCAAGTTATTAGGAAGATCGACTTCGATATATATTCTACACAGTTCTAACATCTTCCTTTCCTTGCTTCTGTGCTATGATCTGACTCTCACATCTATCACTTGTGTTTTTGTGACGGGCGCATCTATATACGGATTTGATTCACCCATATATGATCTATTTTCAACGTTGATATATATGCTCGCAATCTTGTGGGCCAAAAGAAAACTTCATCTCGGTTGATTTGTTTACTAGATATGTTCTGTCCATCAATATCGTCATCACATCTCTTACTAAGATATATCCACTCTATATATATAAATCATCATACGTATACAACTTCGAAAGTTGGCTCACGATATATACATCTTTTAGGAAAACAAAAACCTTAATTCGAAATGTGACAACATCTGCTGCACTTGGGCCAAGCTGAGTCATAAATTTGTACGAGGAATTTTATTAGTGAATGTACGTTAATGCATGTGAAGGGTTTCAGTTCTTTGTCAACCACCCTCCCAACACACAAAAAAAAAAAAAAAAAAAAGAGGAAGCAAGAAAACGTTATTGTTGATTGTTTTTCTTCTTCGGCCGTTCTTGGTTGAGTTAATACTAAAGAAACTCGATTGTAAGCGGCGAGTTAACAAATGTGCGGTCCATACTTGCAAATCTGTATAAATATATATAGTTCGAGTTCAAGAATATAAACCCAAGAATCACATGCTAGCTAGAATATTCTTTCAAAATCTGCCCGGTTTGAATTTTGCGAGTAACTGCATACAAGTTTTCGTTTTAGTTTAATTTTTTGCAAAGTAAATTAGCCATACTGGTGTGTATATCTTCGTTTGGTTAATCTATGCAAGATATGGATAATACTTCATGAATGTAAGAAATGGATTATTCGTTTGCAATAAGGACTAAATACCCAGCAATTCAGAGAGCAAGTTGAAAGAAGATACTTTTGTTGGTTGAGGTTTCTGTTTGATGAGATGCTTTCCCCATTAATTCATTGCAGTGAGTGGAGTGTCTTTCTCTTTTGCTAAAAAGAATTTCAGGCAGCCTTTGCTGGGGGAAAAGTAAAAGATGGAAGCATTCAAATTCAATTACTTTGAAAATTATTTTACGAGAGATTCACTGAAAAAAAAAAATAATTATTGGAGATAATATTAGATGAAGTACAAGAACGTGTACATGTCTTGGAGCTTTTCCCTCTAGAAGACTGATTGCATGTAGTGGGTAAAAGAAAAAAAAAATGGAATATGATTACAAGATATATATATATATATATATATATCTATATATATATATATATATATATCTATATAAGTAGAATTCAGAATCACTTTGATCAGTTCTTACAAACAAACAAATGAAAAAAGAACCACTTTGGTGATCTCTTGTATCACTTTCTTAATTTCTTTGAATATATACATGTACGTATAACTGTACAGATGATATATTTTTAAGGCTTAGATTTCTTAGTTAATTAGGTATTGATGCCTGATTAAATTTTGCACATTTGAATTTGAATACTATATATAAATGAACTTTAGAGAAAACAACATTCATAATAGCCATGTTTGATATGTCCATTTTGAAATACTTGACAGATTTAGAAATATCCAAACACTGTTAAACTTTTAAAAGACTAAAATAGGAAAAGCTATAATACTAATTAAAATTTTATATTTAATTTGCTTATTTCCAATCAAATTAAAATAATAAGTGGATTTTAAATTTTATTATATGTTGAAAATATTGATAATAAGAGCTAGTTACAAGATTAGTGATGAGATAAAAAGAAATCCACTTATTTTGATTGATTAAAAAGGTGTTTTCAGTATATAAACAAAGTACCGAAATTTTTTCGAATAAAATATATCTAACATATTTCATACTCAAATTACTTTCTACAATATACTACATCCGATCCTTAATATAGGAACTCATTTAATTTGATCATAAATATGATATGCCAATTCACTTTATTTTTTATATTTATTCATTTTTTTCAAGATAGTCCTTGTAATAATAGTAATTTTAACCAATACACTTGATTAGTAAGGATATTGTAGGAAAGACAACATATATTTATTACAAATAACTAATTAAACTAATTTTTTTAATCTACTCAAATTAGTCAATTAGTTTTTATATTAAGGACCAGAGGTAGTAGTATATATGTGTAACTTTTAAATTCATTCTGACAATGTATAAAAAATTGATCTAACAACAAAATCAATATAACATAGCTTGTTTATTATTATAGCCTTTGAATGGATAGAGACATTATATCTGCAAAAATAAGCTATATTCCAAATTATTTTGAGAATCTTTTAGTAGGGACATGGTGGGGAAAAAATATTGATGATGAAAGTTAAATTTAATATCTCTACTTAAAAAATAAAAATGATTAATATACATAATAAATATTAAGAGAGTAATTTTCCATTATACCGCTTCAAGATTTACGTTTAAATATTCAGCCCCATTCTGTCTGTCTATTATTTTTGGCACGTTAAGCAAAGAAAACCTACGTATGATTGCAATCCCTATGTACAACGGGAAGTTCAGTTATTAGTAACCTTAAATCTGCGAAACATCCGAAATAGCAGAGCCAAGCCCGGTGACCGAAGTTGTGAACTTATCCCATTCACTTTTACGAGTGACCAAAAGGTCACCAAAGAACAGTTAAAGGTAAGATACGTGAACCAGATGCATTAAAGGTAAGATGTGTGAACAAAATGCATTAATATCTAGGAATTTATCTGGGCAAAGAGCCATATTGCACGAGCGAGCGTCAATTTGATCATCACTGTGTCCAGGTCTGGGAGAACAGATTACTGAAGCTTTTTAAGGTTATTTTCCAATGAAATTAGTCTAGGTTGCCCTCAGATAGCCACAAATAGTAAAATAGTACTTGGGATTCTAGTGGCTAGCCTGTCCTTATGTTTTTCCCTTTTCGGTAACTTTTGGATCATCAGTTGATAACCATCACAGGCCCCTTCTTTCTTCTCTCTGCGTCACGTCCACCTATTCCCATCCCATTGCCACCTCACATTATTACTCCTCTGATTTTTCACAAAGATTCATACCCATTATTTTGGCTTAACATATCATTCGTGCTTTGTTTAGACACCTTTTTAAGGAATTCTCCAGATTTCCTTGGTTTTCCAGCTAGCCGCAGAAAATTGTTTTCTGGGTAGTGATGATATATAATTGCGTCTCATACTCAACTACGCGTTCAAATTAATCCTGCAGTTTTTTTCCCTGGGGTACATGGCTTGTCTGAATTCTTAATGTTCACAAGGAGAGGAGATAATTTTGAACAAAGATACTAAAAAACATGTTATTGCCATTTATCAGCTCACCCCACAGGGCTTAAAAAGGAGGCAAAGACTACTATTTTTGCATACTATTTCACACAGACAGAGGAACCAAAGACAAAGAAAATCAAAAGAGATATAAAAAATCTCTGCCTTCCATTCCAAATTAGCCGAGCAGGTCGATGGAGGTGGTTAAGGATTGGTTGGAGGAATCAGATCCGAGGTACGAGGAGCTACAGAGGACATCTTCCAGAGGGCCCAAGGAAGGGCAGGGACTGTTGAGCCTCATGTCCTTTAACATCTGACGAAGCTCCGAAGCTTCCTCTTTCAGCTGAGCATTCTCCTGAACCACTCGATCATGGCTCTCCGACACATGGTTCAGCTTATCTATCAACTGATGATTCTCATTCCTGAGCCATACTACCTGCGACCACAGCTCGTCCAGGTGCTTCTGCTTCCTCATGCGTGACCTGCGAGCAGATTCCCTGTTCGATATCATCCTCCTGTGCTTCCTCTCGTTGATGATGAAGTTCTGTTGTTGCTCATCTGCTTCATCAGAAGTGGAATTGCCGCTCAGACACGATGATTGAGGACTAAAGTCCTGAACTTGAGGAGGGTTTTGGAAATTGTATAGCTGATTGGCGAATCTTTGAAGCTGGAATGTGGATATATTGTTCTGCGGAGAGATGTAATGGGGTGGGTATGCATATGGGCTTGAATGGACCTGAAACTGATAATTCAGTCCGGAAACCTCTCTGGCTTGCATGGTTTTACGATCTGTGTTCAACCAATGAGCAGGAGGAGTTCTTGCAAGGTTTTGAAGGGAAATGGTGGACTGGGTAATTGGGTTGGTTCTGAGAAAGAGGAAGAAAACCAGGGCAGGTATTATATAGGGAGGAAAAACTGGCTAAAAGGGCCTACAAAAAGCAGGCGGAAAAACAATGGCTCAAATCCTTAAAAGCTTAGATTATCATGCAGAATATGTCTTATGTAAAAGGTTTAGCATAAGGCATTCTCGCATATGCTCACAAATAATCAATCAGTGTTTGGCACACGCGGCTGAACAACGAGCTCTCCGCAAGTTGTAAATTTTTTGTTGTTTTGAGTAGAGTCTACATACAGGCGACGCAATAGCCTGAGCCCCTACGTTAGGAAAAAAAACAACTTTTCTATTTCTTTTTGTTGTATGGATGTGTATGTATGTGCACGACATGATGATATAATGTTGATCATGCGGGCATGTACATGTGAACATGCTATGTGGGAATGACATGGGAGAGGCAATTTGGGTTTGAGGATAATCATTTTGGAGGAAAACAAGTGCTTACATCAGAGAGAGAGAGAGGCAGTTCAGATCATGGGAAGTATAATAATTCTTCTTGAGGACTGTTGTGGCAAAAGCAGGCACAGGAGACATATATTGGAGATCAACAAGTCAAGTATATATTAAAATAAGGTTGCCAAATTCCAGCAGGCTGATTCTATGTTGGATATATATATATATATATATATAGAGAGAGAGAGAGAGAGAGAGAGAGTTTTCACTTAAATAGCATAAGAAAATGGAGATATGAAAAAGGTAAGCCATCTATATGAATTCATAACTGAAGAGGAAAAAAATAGAAAAATTTAGGGTTTTGATGACTCAAGAACCACTTCTACTGGGGCCAGATGCAAAAACAATTATATTTGTATGGGTTAAATAAAAGCCAAATCTTCGATCAGCAATCACCACTTCTTGTTTTTTTTTTTTAGTATGATTAGGTACTAATCGGAGTCTATTCCTGTGCTGTAGTAGTGGCACTGATTATTTCATTGTAATTAATCACGATAAAAAAGGAAAGATTCACCTCGGTAATTAATTTTGTTCAGTGCTGATCCTACTGATGATCATGAACTACAATTCATCGTCTTTTGTTGTTCAGCCTTTCTGGCACAGTCTCTTCATTATTCCACTCAACTTTCAGTTAATCCAGATAGCCAGAGTGAGGCTGTAATAAATGATGAAACTCACATTTTTTCGTTTGTGCGTCCTGAAATATCAAATCCATCAACTAATTTTATATATCTATATATCTATATATACTATATATCTCATAAAGCTGTAAAGGATATAGATGAAGCGAACTTGATATGACGTAATAACACTAATGGAGAGGGGAAAAGGTTCGCACATTTGTAGTGGTGTTGACAAGTTGTTGTGTCTATAATCAGAAAGAGGCCAATGATTCTTCAAAACCACTTCTTTGCCAGGATAATTAATCAAATGCATTGTTTAAAGAAAAGGATGACATCTGCCAGCCTTAAAATAAGCAAGTAGTGATTCAATTTGTTACTAAGCTAGCATGGAGAAACATATATACATGTGAAAGATCATCACAAAGTGCTTGTACCTTCCTCAATTAATTTTTTTTTCCCCTTTCGGAGTTATTCAATAATAAAATGGTACATCATATATGTGTGTGTGTAAACTAATGTCAAATGTTTTCTGGTTTATCTGATTTGCGAGAGGGAGAGATTTCTCAAGCACTAAAGTGGGTGGGAAAAAAGATGACGCAGAAAAATGTACATGGTGGAAAATAATGAGAGAGAAATGGTACTTTGTATTGCACATCCCACTAACAATGAAAAACTTAAATGCAGCATTCAGGAGAATGGAATCCCAAAATCTGGTTTTAGACAGATGCTTTATTCTTGCACTTACCCTTTGAGTCGTAGTTGAGTGGACGGAACGGTCAACAATATCATTAGACAGATTTAGACCCCTCTTTCTTTTCTTGTCTTTTGAATATATTGCTCTCTCTCTCTAGCCTGACATCGTAGGGATAAAGGTGTTTTATAGTAGGGTGCTTGGATAAGTAAATGGGTTTCATTGACCTTTAATACTTTTACTACACTGATTGATATATGCTTTTGTATGTATATTTATTCACCATTTGGTTGGTCAAAATGCCATGCCACTCAGATCATCAGATGTGAGTTTACAAATTGACTTATCTTCTCCATTATGCGAACAACATATATATTCACGTATATATACAGATATATTTTTCCTTATTTTGGTCAGTCAACTTGAATCATTGACCACAGACGACATGCAGTTGGCGGAATTAATACCACAGGGCTACGTACAGCCGGTACCGTGAAATCATTAGAGTAGAACGTTGTTCACTTATATATCAGTGGAATGCAAGTTGTAATGACTTGTGCATCTGTCTTTCTTGTTCTATAAATTAAATTTAAAAATAAAAAGTCTAATTTTATGTGTTAACTTCTTGGTTTGTCGTTTACCTAATGGCCAAACGACAATTGGAAATTAGGAACGACTAAACAAGCGGCGAGAAAAAATGCTTTACGTCCGTCCGTTGTCTATAAGCGAGACACGATCGAAGGCGTCTGGTTTTTGATCCTATAATAAATGGTTAGTTAATTAGACGAAAGGAGCTTAATCTAAGTATCTAATCATGACGGATATTATCCTTTTAAGCATCCTTAAATCTTGCTTAGCATTTTTGTCTCATAAAAAGCAGTCAGGAATTACTTTTATGGCGATTATTTTTGGCATTGATGATGTTTTTAACTTATTTCCACCTCGCCACTAAGCATAGCGCTGTTAGTTTTTTTTTTTTTTTAAAAAAAAAAACCTGCATACCTTCACATGTAGACACGTATGCATCTACATCTACACGTAAGGTTAATTTGCAAAATTTGTTCCAGGCTATGGGGAGAGAGAATGAAGAAGAGAACCCACTTTTCCAATTTCACGTTAAGATCCTTTGCAACATCTTATACGCGCGCACGCATTGTGTGTTGTCTATGAGGATCGGAACACATATAAAATAAATAAATAAATATTCCACATCTGGAGGTGCCGGTCAAGAGGACGGATCCGCCCAGAAAATCTTATGAAGTGAAAGGAAAAAAAAAGAGAGAAGAATACTCAATAAAATTCTCGAACGTACAGAACCTTCTAGTTAATTAGTTATCAATTTTAGCTGTATATAAATTAATCAATTCTACTTAAGGAGATAAAATTTATTGCTGCTGTGTCTAAATTACAGAGACGCGAAAATCGCCCACGTGTACGTACGTCGCGATAGGAGGCGTATACGAAACTACGCGGGCACACATAGATATGAAGATGAAATTTAGCTAATGAAATGCAGACAAAGCAAAGTTGAAGTGCTGGGGAATAAATTGCTACAAAATTGTGGTCCCTTTCCCCCACTCATCTGCTCCTTATATATACTTTATTATCAAGATTTGGCCATGTTTCTCACGACTGGTGTGTATTTATATATTAGTACCACTGAGAGGTGGGGAGGATCGTACGGATCATCTCTGCATTACATTGCTTCTACCCATATTTATATATATATAGCTCTTTAGCTGAACATAAAATACACCCGTTTTTGGTTCATCGTACAACCTGATCACAGCCTCGACCCCCACCCTATAAAATATATGAACAATTCAATGTACCAGACATCTGGTTCTCTCAACTTTAGGGGTATTTGGACAAGAACAAAAACATGATTTTAGAAGTGTTTTTACGGTATACGAAATAAATGTGTGGAAGAGTTTGTCTCGATTTGCGAAAAAGTACTTCTGAAAAATGATTCTGGGTGTTTCCAAACACCCTATAGGATCTTTACTGGCAGCTACATCAACGTTGGAAGTCGGGGGTTTTTAGTAAAATATATTGAAAAAACATTTTAAAAAAATGATTTCGTATTTGTTGACATAAATTTTCTTTTAAATACTTACTTTTTATGTTGTAAAATTATTTTTAAAACCATAATTTCACTTGTATTAATAGCTTCTTCTTTTAATTTCTGTTAAACATGTCAACATATAACACTCTAAACACACGCCTATTTTATTTTACAAAAAAATAAAGAGCTTTGACAGTGTTTGTTGATGAGAAGTTATATAATATTAGCTTGATACCGCCTAATACTTGTTACGAAACTTTTTAATAATTATATTTTTTTAAAAAAATTATAATGGTTTTGTTATAAATACAAATTCACCTAAGGAGGCATTTGGTTTACGCCAAAAGTGTTTTTTAAGTTTTTTTTAAAATTAAATCAAGATAAAATTATCTTCATATGCTTATTTTGTGTGCTGTAAAATTACTTTTTAAAATCATAATTTGGTTTCTACTCAAATATCTATAAATAAGTGATTCCATCACCAAAGAACTCCACGTCATTAAAATGGGCTACATATAAGAGGATGCAGTTCTTGAGATTATGATAAAATAAATATATTCAAGGAATAAAAATCTGATAATATTCACTCCGTGAAATAATTACCAACATGCAGGTTGTCCCTCCTGGAGCTGCATATCTTATCCAGCACTGAAGGGTGGCGGATCGTATCTCCGGCAATTAAATGCAGATTCTCACAAATACCCATGGGACTTGGGTAGCATCCTATGAAATGAGAGGGGCAATTCCGGAACGAGGGCGCGGACATGGGGATGCTGCCCCACATTAACGGAAGCTGCCTCATTCATTTGTCGTTACTTACCTCCCTTAAAATGTAAGTAAATTTGTAAAATACTTTCAAAAAATGAATATCCTGAAATATTTTCATTTGTGTACCTAAATTTAAAATATTTTATAAATTAAAAAAATTTAATTAGTTGAGTTATCTTTAGGTAACTTTTGGCCTCACGATTCATTTAAAAATATTTGAAAAAGATTGGATAAACCATAAACATGATCTTATAATTAGAGTTAGAGATAATACTAGTATTAATTTGAAAAAAGAAAAATATAAAAATCAGCACATCAATCAACAACAGAATTGGAAACCCTAGTTTTGTCAGATTTGTGTGATAAGGAGAAAAATATGGGCAAGTAGGCAAATTTTGAGGGGTTAAATTCACAGTGGATGATAAAATGACATGTTGTGTGGAAGTTTACTTTTGTAGATGATGGAATGGCGAATACGAGTGTGATCTAATTTTGTTACGAAAG